ACACATTTGGCAATTGTATAATTCAATTATGACTCGAATGCTGATTCAGAAAATGTATTTATTTATTTTTCACGTGCTTGCTGTGTTGTGAACTCGGCAACCTGAGTTTGCTATCCTTGGCTCACATCATTAGTGAGTGGTATCTGAACCAGGTCCAAGAGCCCCCCCCCCCCCCCCCCCCCACCAAAACCATCACCAACCAGCACAGACTGGCTTGATAGAGTCTCATAATACAATGGAGACCATCATCCGGCGGTGGATTGACAAAGGACGTAAATAATGAAACGACGAACGTCAATGGCACGTAACTGGCGCGCATATGTTTTGCGCTGCACAATTTCCAGCAGAAATATATTGACCTTGAAAATCATTGCTGTCATAAAAAAAATGTTATTTTCATTCCGTTCAGCAATTGCATTTTGGCGAGCATTTTTGTTGTTGTTGCTGTTGCATGCCACGGGGAGATCGTGGCATGCAAAGTGAACGCAGACACGATTGTTATTCACAGTCCGTACTCCATTAACCTCTCCCCCCCCCCCCCTCTCACGGCCCCGCAAAACAGATGGCAGGCATTGGCTTGCGTTGCGTGTTTGCATATGTGTATGTCCACGAGTGTGTTAATTTAATTTCTATTCATTACTCTCTGCAGTAAGGACCTACTTACTCCATGTATATTTCATTGCTTCCTACAGTATATTTATGCGTCGTAATGAATGCTTAATGCGCGCCAGCTCATTAAAAAAAAAACTCCTTGTGCTGCATCGGAGATGCGCTCAGCTGTGGCCCAAAAGTCGCATCTGGTTGGGACAGATGAGGTTGAAACAATGTGCGGGCCAGATCAATTAAGTGCGATTTTTCACGCCTTGGGTTGGCTCATTGAGTCGGCCTTAGCTTGACAAGAACGGATTAATACGCATAGCTGTCCGATGCGTTTTCGGGTTGTGCCACATGTTATTCGGCATGTCGCCTGATGTTGCGCTCCGCATATTGGGAGCTTCGTAAGTTCCAGAATTCAAATTCAGTTCATCATGGCCCATTGTCTATCCACTGCTGGAGTAATGCCTCTCTTCATGATGTCACCATCCCTTACAGTCCTGTGATGCCACATTCAATGTTATCATAATCATCAGCCATGGTCAAACCCACTGCTGGATAAGAGACTGGTCATCCTCGCAGTGGCTTTCGGCTAGCCCTCGAACAAAGACGGTCACTGCATCTCACGTTTTCAGATGCGCTTTTGCGGCCGTATGGAACGCTCTTCTTTCCACATTTCTTTAGAATTGCTTTTCGTGTTTAGTTTCTTGCCCTTGTCCACATTTCCGATTAGCACGGTTGGCTAGGTACGGTGCGAAAGAAGTTCAACATGCACACATAGACCTCCCTGATCTCAGCTCCATATGCCGGGAACTTCTTCAGCTTCTGCAGTTCATTAATTCAAACTCAGCTTGTGAAGGGGCTCTCAGAACGTGGAGCGAAACGTTAGATAATCGCACCAGACAACACACGGTACAACACCAAAACATGTCGCAGAGCTGCGCAACACGACCGTGAAAACCTACGCAAGTCGGATTAATAATAATTGTGTCATTAAATGTGATGTCAGAACTGGAGCTGTGATTATTGTGTACAGCCTGGTAACGTGCCTGACCTTTTCGTGCATTGGCATCATTAATCTATTAATTATTTCCCATATGAAAACGTGTCTTTTGGCCAAAGGGCAATTAACATGTCAACGCCACCTTTAGAATAATAGCTTTAACTAAGACTTACACTCCTTCTGTTCCACTCTGATATCGTTGATCCTGAGCCCACATTACCTCCCTACATTTGACAGCTGTATAAAGCAGTCATCAACACCTCAACATCTCCCACTGTTACATTTTTAAATATTGTCCATTACATACAGAGCATGGTGGCGTTCACCTCATCCGTGCACTGTCCAGGCTCATCCTTTGCTTGCCTTCAAAGATCTGGAATCTAAGTGGGCTTTGGCAGGACACATCACGAGATGGGATGATGATGATGATAGCCGATCGATGAGACTGGCAACGAAGTGACAGCCAAAGGAGAGAATACAATCTAAATGAAGACCACTGTGGGGGTGGAGCAATGAGATCAGCTCGTATGTAGAATTGAGATGTCTTTTGTACCAAAAGACCATTCGGAATGGCAATAGAATGGGGAGATCTTAATATAGCAGCGGATAGAACTTGCTGCAGAAATCCATCGTCGGCTAACCCACAATCCTCCAACCAGGATGTGACCTACCGAGGAAGATCTGGTCCTCCTTGAAGCGGATCCGGACACTATATTGAAGATGTGGGACACTTTTTCCATGAATGGAAATTAATCAGAGTCCACTTTGTGACTGTGGTGGTGCGACGTCGCAGACTGTGCAACATATCGCGAACGGCTGCCCCAATCGGATCATTCAACGGCGATCTGTAACAAATCCACGTGGCTTCAACCTGGGGCAGTCGAATGGATATCAAATCTCGACATCAATTTTTCATCCGTTGCAATCCACAAAAATTCCGTATGAAAGAAGAAGAAAGTGGATGGACAATACTCTTTGGTTCTTTAGGTAAAGTCACGTAAGTATAAAATATTTGTATTTTATTTTCTACCTCCGTGACTTTACCGAAAGAACCAAAGAGTATGGATTCCTGCAGTCAGGAAAGCTTCAAATAAAGATTGGATATACAGTATAATGCTAGATTTGAAGCTTTTGTGACTGCAATGATTCATACTCTTGGGTTTTTTTCGGTAAAGTCACGTAGGTAAAAATAAAATAATAAAATAATAAAAGAATAGGAAAAATTAACGAAACCTCATTTATTTATTTTCCCCTACGTGACTTTACCGAAAAAAACCTGAGTATAGATAATGCCGCCATATAAGGTGCTCCCAGAGTTTCGATTACTTGCCAAGTAGAGTGCAGGCTAATAATGCAAGAATGTTAAATCCTCGCTCATACCTTCATCTCTGTGATACCTCGATTAATGCAACTCTCTCCACGAATCCCCGATATCTAAACTTTATATCATACCGCGTCTCACTGCTTCAGCAGCTTCGGGCGACGTGAGTTTCTGCTGGTGAGGATTCTCATTTACTGGAGGGATGCTTTTTATCGTCTAATGACTTTCTGTGCCATTTACTCTTTGAACAGTCTCGGCAGTTTGTGGGAGTGCCTCTTTTGCTTCATCTTCCTCGGCAGTGATGGTGCCAGCCCCATTAGAGATCCGATGCAGACATTCTTTTTGGAGGTCTACCTTTCAATTTATAAAATCCTAGTGAGATGACAGAAGAGCAAATCAAGGTAGAGATGAGAGATAATTTACTTTTTGTATTAATTACATTATGATTGCTAGGATATGTATTCGAGTTGATATTTGATATACCACTTTTTAATTGAAACCAACGCCCTTTGAGCTACTTGGGGCAGCAGTATGATAACAAGGTTGGCTGCTTTGAAGGTTCGTGGAGCCAAAGGCGAGCTCAAGCATCTTAAGCTTCGGTCGGTATGCATGAAGTTCACCCAACATAAATAATTCTTTAGAATCTTAAAACCTAATGGGTGTACTGAAGGCTGAAGAGCTAAAATAAGATGTATTTAGGAATTCTGTTCATATTAATGTAGCTCACAGACCAAACATTAAGTTTCAAGTTTATTTTATTTAACCAGGTGAGAACTCAAGAAACTAGGATAGTCTCATTTGCAAGAGTAACTTGGGGCCATTAGTCTGCCAGTATTATTATTAATACGGATCAAGTTGGTAAACAATTTTGAATTTGATCTAGATTTGTTTTTGGGCTTGGCCATGTAGTAATATGGTGCCAATATTATATCTATACGTATATGATATATTTTGTAAACGTGAAGTTCTTATCTGGTGGTGTGGGGTTAATGAGAAGAATATTTAAGAATATGTTGTTTATACTCTTTGGGTCTTTCGGTAAAGTCACGTAGATAGAAAAATAATCAAATCAGATAAAATCACGACGTTTCGATCGCAACACAAGCAATCGTCTTCAGGTGAAAAAGTACAGCAGGTGGACTGCTGAGGCAGGAAGACATATAGCGAGAGAGCTACTGCAGCCAAAGGTTTTCTAAGTTTGTTTTCCACTCTGCCAAACGTGGTGGCACACGCTCACCGCACCTTCTATTAGCACGGTTGGCCACATACGGTGTGAAGAAAGTTCAACATACATACGTAAAAGCTCTGCTCGTATATGCGTTTACCCACAATTCCCCGGAACGCATATTGAGCTTGTATAGTGTATGCAATATCACCTAGCAAATGGGCGAATGGTTGCACCCTTCGCCAGAAATCGTTTTTTTACTTGACCAGGTGTAATATGGCATTTTTTGCGTTTCGTTGGAGTCCTCTTGTCAATACGATCTGCTAATCTTGCAGCATTTGTTCAGCAAGCCTGGCACTGCTGATAATTACAAAATCTAAACCAGTCTAGAGGTCCATACTCTTTGGTTTTTTCGGTAAAGTCACGTAGGTATAAAATTAAATAAAAATAAATTAAATCACGACGTTTCGGAGGCAACACAAGCTTCCGTCTTCAGGTGGCACCGTCACAGCAAAATAGCTGTATCAATTTATTTTTATTTTATTTTTCACCTACGTGACTTTACCGAAAAAACCAAAGAGTATGGACCCTTGCAGTCACGAAAACTTCACATCTAGAATCAGTCTAGAGGTGTTTTGCTTAAACAAATACTGCTGGATATTGGTTCATAAAGCAAATAGACCCGTGGGAATGCATGTTTATTTTCATATGAAGACAGAACAGAGGTATCTTTATATTTGCGTTTTCTCTATTCACAATGTTTCGGTAGTGGCTGTGAGTTGCAACTTCTTCGTAATTGATGACGCACTTTGTATTTATCTGTGGCAAGATAAAGATTTAAATATGGAGTTGAAGCCGATTGTAAGAAAAATAATTCTGATGCGGATGTGAACAAGATTTGCAAACAGATCAGCACACAGACATGGGTTTTTGTTTATTTTTTGTCATGATTTAACGAATCGTGTGAAATACAAAGAGAATTGACAGAGTAGCTTGAAGAAATGAAGCACTGCAACGGTGGGATTAATCACAGTCCATATCTAATCACGGAGCCACGTTTAATGAAAATAAACATCACAAAACCCATTACTCATGGACACGTGCATTAAAAGTAACATAAAAGAGCCAATTTACTATCTGTATGTGCATTGCCATATGCACCAAGTCACAGACACAGCGACATTTTCAGCACAATTAGCTCCTAATTCAGTTATAGTGCAAAGAGCCAATTTGAATTAAATTGGCACATCAGTTTCCGTCACAGTCTATCCGATACAACTCTGCAAGAGTGCTTTATTATTTTAGAAAACACGGAGTTACTTGCACTTGCGTAGCCAGCGGTGGCTAGATCACGGCTAACAATGCCGAGCCTGGTGGTCATCCCAGCGGGCCGTGCTTGTGGCGGACTGCTCGACGCACAATCTCAAGGTTCGTCATCCTCCGCCGTCTGTCTGCGGCAGGACGAAGGCCTCCCCAAGCCCTTGCTATCCTCCACAAGATCCTGCGACGCAACAATCCATCAAACTCCCGCGTGCGTGCGCCGATTGTTTTCGCTGCACTGCCACGGTGGTCACCCTCCCAGGCGTGTCCCCCTCCCCTCCTTTGACGGCCACTCTGCCATGGGCGATGGTTACGAGTTCCAGACTTTGTCCGCGTGGTTGATTCAGCCTATCACCCCCATGAGATCAATAAGCATAGTGCTACTCTGTTGAAGGTTGACAGTGCTCATCCTATCTGGATATACTGGCCCCCCACCATTGGAATGTGCGATTTTATTGTCTCAGTGTGGTCTGGGACTGTTTTTGTTTTGTTGCCTTGCCCAAGCTGGCATTCAGTATTGGAAAATCGGCAGGAATGTACGTACTCATGCAATGAGCACTTGTATATTTTATTTATCTTAATTTATATTTCGTGACTTGCTTTCCTTTTCTCTATTTTGCACTCTCATCGTTTTTTGTATTTTTTATTGTTGTAACTTCCGACTGGACATCTGTGTAAAAGAGCTTCACAGCTCATCGGATAAAATAAATAAAAAATATGAAAGATTCAGATTCCGAATGTGGGATTTCCGCGACTGGTTTAAGGCTACCCGAGGGAAATTAACGTGGCTCCATTGTTCACTTGAGCAGGGGAGACACTTTCAATATTTCTTGACCTGAACGGAGTGGTGGGTTCACAATAAAGCCAATTTACCAGTCAGTGGTAATTTTACCATGTTAACCGGTATCTCCACAGGGCTTGCTTGAAGCCTAAAGCATGCTCAATTTTATAATTAGAACATGGAAAGGATAGGCCCACTGTATGCCAATGTTATCATCCAAATGTTAAATTTGAAAGAAAAAAAAACACACAAATCGTTTTCTTTAAATAACTGCCTTGCAAGAACAGAAGCGTGGCGAGTCTAAAATGTAATCGTTGTACTTACACATTTTGGCTTAATAGCAAAATGAAAAGATTGTACCTTACACTCCTCCACCCTGCCACCCCAATATTTTCATTATTTGATCAAATAAAGTCACGACAGATCATTGCCAACAGCTGACGACAAACGCTAACTGGTGAACACGTTATCATTTTAAACCGGCCTGATGAAATGTATTATGCACATGATAAAATGAGAAAATATTACCGCTTGGTTAAAATATTTCATCGTTACTGGCCAAAACCCACTGGCAATGTCACTCAAATTAAACTTGGATTTGGTACGTGGACATAGCTTGCTAGGAAAGGAAAAAAAAACAAATTTCTGAATTCCCCTTCCTGGACGGTAACCTTGAAAAGCGATCTTGTGTTTACAACTTAACATTAAACAGCCACTCTTCCTATCAAATCACATTTGTATCATGACAACTATTGGGGAAACAACCACACAAACACGTAAGCACGCACGCACAAAAAAATACAAAGATCCCTCTTTTAGCGTGAAAAGATTGCTGGTGCAAACATTGCCAAGCGAGCACCTGTTAAGTCTGGCAGGACACAGGAAGGTGGCGTTACCAGCACCACCCGATGCCTTAGCTTCCACACCATCGACGTTCAGAATACCGCCACGGCCAATAATATATTATGAGCTCAAGTCAACCTCTGGAAGCCTCAGCTCAACCAAGTTCTGATGGTGAAACAATTGCCACCGAAGGGCATTGGCAGGAATGTGAACCCAGATCTCTTGAATTTTAAAGTGGTGGCTTAGTTAACATTAATGCCACCGGAGCACAGACATACACAAAGATTTTCCTTACAAGGGCAAGTTCTGTTATCAGGCACCTACTGAGACCGGCAACTAAGGCCAGCATGGCACACAAATGCGTGGTGTGGGCAACACCACAGCCAGCATATAAACATACACAAATGAAAATACACAACGCACACATAAAACAAAAGATGAATATCCACCGAATAGCCTACAAGTGCTGTTCGCGAACACCTATTATGGCTAGCACAGCACACGAGGGGATGGTGTGGCCAGCACCACGCCGCGCCGCCTTTGTCTCCACAGTGCTGATGCTTACACAACACACCGGTTACTCATTTAGGGCTGGGTCGACCTAGTGGAGGCCCAGCACTGGTTCAGATATCACTGATGTGAGCTGTGGCCGGGAATCAAACCCAGCTCGCTAGATTCATTGAATGCGGCGTTAACCACTTTGCCACTGCTCCACCCGTCTTGGCTCTCACAACGATGAAATCATATCGCTCAGAGCCTGCGACATCTTTGTAATAGTTGGCCATCATGTGCGGGTGTCATAATCTCATCTCCGAGGCTTAAAAACGACCCGCAAGGAGGTGACCAGGTGGCTCAGGGGTCAGAGAGCATTGAGCCAGCACTGCTGACAGAGGCGTAGCTAGGATATTTTGCGCCCGGGGACGAACTATAAAATTGGCGCCCCCCCCCCCCCCCCCCGTTTAATCACATTTTCCTATTACATCGAATAAGGGATAACAATTTAAATTTTAATGAAACATTTTATTTAGAGAAGCAAATTTATAGACATTATATTACATGGCTCATTCAGTCACTGTCGTAGACTGGTTGACATAGTCTACAAAAGATTAATTTTTCTTGATTTCACTGTCGCAAACTGGTCAATCACGTAATCAAAATCAGTTTTTTCCAATGTTTCTCTTTCAACGCTAAGAAGAGCAACATCGCTAAGACGATCTTGTCCCATTGAAGTTTTAGGTTGAGGTGTAGATTTGTGCAGTAGTTTCAGGCTGCCACGCCCGCCGCAATAAGTTATAATGTCACGTTGTAAGCCTCATTTTGGCGCCCCTTTACCTTGGCGCCCGGGGACACGTGTACCCCCCTGCCCCCCCCCTAGCTACGCCTCTGACTGCTGATATCAGTGAATCAACTCGGGATTTCAGCTGCCTGCTAACCGCTGTGCCACCGCTCGCCACATGCATACAAAGATGCCCCATATAGCCTTTAGCAGACTGTTGGGGCAAGAGCTGCTAGCGGGCACCAATGAAGGCTGACACGGGCACACGAGGGGGTGGGTGGCCAACACAATCCTTGGCTGCCTTTGTCACCCAAATGTTGATGTTTCACGCATCACACCAGTTAATAATTTCAGGCTGAGTCGACCTAGGGGGGGGGCCCAGGACAGATTCAAATATTCGCCACTGTTATTGCCCGAAAGCGGGAATCGAACTCGGGATGCCGGGTTCATAGTGCAGTGCACTAACCACGATACCACCACTCCCTCACACAAAGACAAAGATCCCCCAGTATAGGCCTTAATAGGCTGTTGGGACAAGTGCTGTTAGCAAGCACCTATGAAGGCCAGCAAACAAACACACAAACACACGGACAAATACAAACGCCTACACACACACGGCCACACTCGCCCACAATCAGCACGGTCACATGATGGTGCAGCTCTTGGCTTTGACGCTGCGCAGGAGTTGCGGGTGAGGGCCGATGTCCGAGCCAGAGGAGCTCTGGGGCAGCTGGGACAACCTCCGCCTCAACGCTGCGGCCATGCTGGACGCCGGCGGCACTACCGCCGGCGTTCCTCCGCCCGCGGACGTGCCTCTCCGGTGGCCGCTGCCCCGCGTGGTCTTGCTCTTCTTGCCCTTGCCTTTTCCCGAGGCACCCGGCCCCCGGCCCACGGAGGCGAGCGTCGCCATTCGGAACAGGTCGCGGACTCCGTTCTCCGACGTCTTGGCCGAGCACTCCATATAGCCGGCGGCTCCCATCTGCTTGGACGCGTTGAAGCCCTGCGGGTCACAGGGACGGGCGAACATGCACAAACACAGACGACAGGTGAGGGACCATCAAGGGCCTAGCCCCACTTCATCTCACCTCTCTCATCTACTTCCATGTCCCCTCTCGTCGTCTTCGTTCCCAATCTTCTCTCTGTCTCTCTCTCTCTCTCTCTGTCCCTCCTTCTCCCTGTGCCCGATCTCGTTTTTGGTCCTTTTCCCTCCTTGCACCCTTCCACTGGAATCAACTTCACCTTACATTGAGCAGCATTGCACCATAGACTCACTGCCAGTAAACTTAACACTGCCCGTAGACTGAACACTGCCCATAGACTCAACACTGCCCATAGACTCAACACTGTCCCATAGACTCAACACTATCCCTGTATATTAAGCAGTCCCATCTTTAACCTTCTTCCATTCCCCTCTTAAAGCCTCACCTCTTCTCCATCGCCCATTCTCTTCCCCTTCCCACCCCTCGCCCCTCCACTCCTTCCCGTCCCTCCCCTGTAGCCCTTCTGGGATCCCCTCAGTACCCCCACCTCTATCGCCGTCGCTCATTCCTCAACACTTGCAAGCACGAAACCCCGCCGTCGAAAATCATTCCATTCCGTCACCGCTTTGGTAAACCACGCCAAGCGCGAGGGACTGGCTTGGCACGGCACGCCACCCTATACCGAGCCGGGCCGGGCCGGGCGCTACCTGGTCGTACGACACGGGGCCGGCGAGAGGCTCGTCCGGGTCCCGCAGAGCGTCGGCCTCCGCGCGCAGATCGGCCTTGCAGCCGATGAGCAGCACCTCGGTGCTGGGGCAGAACTCGTGGATCTCGCGATGCCACTGTGCACGTCAAGAGGGCGGCAGCAATGAGCGGAGCAAAACCGATGACAGCGTGAAGCGATTTGATTACCCCTTTCCTATGCATTGCGCTGGCTCAATCTATCTCGGCCCGCTTTTCGGGGGCAGCGACTCCACCAAGACCGTCTTCCACCCTGCTCTTTCCTCCGCCAGCGGCATCAACCGTGGCTTCAGGATCGCCTCTCTCTCCTCAGCCAGGCGCACCACTCCACCCCAGTCTTTCCGGCGCGATCGCGGGCGGCCTCGGGGTCTTTTGCCTGGAGGACGTCCTTTGGACGTCATCGTTTCGTTGTATTTGTATCTATTTATCAAGTGATTTTCTTACACCTTCCGATACTTTGCACTCCTGATCGTGTAGTCTCAAAACGGTGTTAGACCAGAAGATACCAAAAGGAGACTAGGCTCACAAGAAAGCTGTCTCTGGTGCGGACCAATCCGTTTCAAAGACAATGCATATATTATCAGAGTACGTTTTTTTGTTTGCATTCTGACCACAAGTATTGTGGTTAATGCAGACATGATTCCTTGTAAGAGGTTTCAGTTTGGTGTTTTAACATCTTAACACCTGTTTTGTTGCCAGAAAAAAGGGGAAAACCTATTCTCATATTTTGGTACTGGCAAAGGAGGTCCCGTGATGGTTCTCATATCACTCGCCACGAACGTTACCGTGGCCCGAAATCAAACCCGTCGGGTCGTCGAGTTCAAACAGTCGGCTAAAACAATCTCCCGTGAATTCCAAGTGCCAGCATTTTTTTTCTTAAAACCCCACAGACACCTTATCGCAAGCCCTACAGCACTGGAGAGGAAAAGTGGAGCGATGCCTCTTCAACAGAGCTGCCTTGACCCTGCAGTTGAGTTCATGGAATCCGACAGGATGCTGGGGAGGGGAGGAAGGCGAGCGAGCCACAGCACCGCGCCCTTTCCCTCCCCGTTCCCCCCTTCCCGTCCCCAACCCAGTGTCCAAACACAACCTGGGCACGACATCCCCTTTGGCACCCGTCGATGTGCCTCATTCAACCCAAGCGTGGGCCCACTTGGGATTCAAGTACGTGCAATTTTTTTTATGATATGAAAATGCCTTTTTATCAACATCGCTATTATCATTAGCCATGTTCAATCCACTGCTGGGTGAATGCCCCCCACCGCCACCACACAACTGCCGCCACCTCTCACAACCGTGCGATGTAGTAAGGGATCGCTTCGCTTCCGCAGAAGGCTTGGTCTCGTCCTCGGTGGACTTCCTCTCAGACACGTGTCATTCATTTTCTGATGCGTCGTACGCGTGAAATAACGAAATAATGATAACAACAACAATAACGACGACGACGTGACCTCAAGTGTCCCCAGTGGTGGGATGTTTCCACAGGCAGGATGTGTGTGTGTGGGAACGGTGGTGCAGCGGTTAGCGCGACGCTGCGCTAAGAACCCGGCGACCCGGGTTCGGTTCCCGCTCACGGCCAACACCGGTGACGATTATCTGAGCCGGTCCTGGGCTTCCCCTAGGTCAACTCAGCCTCAAAGGAGTACCTGGTGCAGTGTGTAAACATCGTCACTGGGGAGACAAAGGCGACCGGGCGTGGTGTTGGTCACCCACCCCCTCCTATGCCGTGCCGGTAGCCTTCATAGGTGCTACTCGCTAACAGCACTTGCCCCGACAGTGTATAACTCTCGGGGGATCTCTGTCTTTGTTAGACATGTAACGATCCACTCTTGTCACGATGTAATGAATTGGTTGGGATTCAGGCTCGGATTTAAGAATCTATTGGGATTATTTTTTAGCATTAAGGTGATTGTAGTGGTGTCTTCTGACAGGAGGTCACGGAAAGCCATTACATGCAACACATACATGGATCGAAAGTCATTGATTATAATGCAATTCGTTGCATGTATGCTGAACAAAAATAACTGAGAGCGATCGATGGATCGATGCATTTTGTGCCCCGAGTACAAATGTATACGTATAGTGCGTGGTGCAAGTGATGCCTTTTTTGCTGTTGCTGCCCTAATTGGTGCTCACCGATGAAAGTGCTTGACCATAGCTTGCAGGGATGTGTGTGTTTTTGTGTGCTGTACGATGTGTCGTTTGGCAAAACTGGAGTACCGTAGCTTTGGGCATTTCTATAGCGTGCTTGGTATGCGAGTGCGTACGGCGGCGTGCATGGAGGCTTTTTGCTCAAAGCTTTGCCAAGTGACAAGTGGAGTTGGAACTAAGCTGTCCAAAAATACCAGCGGGCGTCATTTCCAGCTCGACACAATGCCGCGAGCTCCGTACATTCATCTCGAGCAACACGGAAAATTCTGCACGTGAGTAACACTTTGACATTGGCACTCATTAAACACAATAGTTGCGTGAGTGTGTGTGTGTGGATGTATATGGGGAGCGATAGTGTAGCGGTTAGTGCGCTGCACTACGGACCCGGCGATCTGATTTCGATTCCCGGTCGCGGCCATTACGAGTGACGATTATCCGAACTGGTTCTGGGCTTCTCCTAGGTTGACTCAGCTTCAAATGAGTACCTAGTGTGGTATGTAAACATCGCCACTTGGGAGACAAAGGGTGTGGTGTTGGCCACCCATGCCCTTGTGCGCTGTGCCGGCCTTCATAGATGCTCGCTAACAGCACTTGCCCCAACAGTATGTTAAGGCTACACGGGGAGTTTTTGTCTTTGTATATATGTATAATGTAATAATCAGCTCATGTGCCATTGTGGTATTGCAGAATTGTGAGAGCTGGAGATGGATTGGGGGAGGCCTTCATCCAGCGGTGGGTTGATTATGGAGGATGATGATGATTGTGGTGTACTCTTTGGTTCTTTCGGTAAAGTCACGTAGGTAGAAAAACAAAAATAAACTAAAAATATTATATCATGACGTTTCGATCGCAACACAAGCAGTCGAAACATCGTGATATATATTTTTTTGTTTTATTTTATTTTTTTACCTACGTGACTTTACCGAAAAAACCAAAGAATATGGATTCCTGTAGTCACGAAAGCTTCAAATCAGCAATGATTGTGGTGGTGGAAAAAAAAATAATTGTCATGTAGGCCTCTCTACACTCTGTAGGCTTCATGGTGGATGTCTGGCCATACTTATTCTCTACCCTTGTCAAGCGCGGGTTGTTGAACGAGACACCCACAATCGGCTCAGACACATCTTGCCACTGATGACAGCCATAGCCAGGAATCAAACTCAGGTAGTGCGCTAACCTCTACACGACAACTCCACCCGAGTTACTCATTATATATCCAGAGTCAAATTGTCATAAAAAAATAATTTGGTACTAATAGAGTCAAGTTTTCAACTGGAAAAAATGTTTGACTTTTAGCTTTCAAAAATCATGGCGCAGAGTTTTCACTCAAAGGGCAAGTTCAGCCTAGAGCTCTACATTGCTTTATGTCGCGTCCTGAACACTTACACCCGTGTACAATCCCCATAGTCAGTGAACCAAGTAATTCACCACCCATGGGGGGTGACACTAAGTCTGATAGAGAACAGGCAAAGCTAAACAATATTGAAACCATCGGGGTATAATTTTCCCCCCCTTTGCTTAAGAACTTGGGACTGATTTCTGTGTTGGCAAAAAAAACTGAAAAATCCAGACAGATGTGATTAGACTGTATTTCAACCAAACACTAAAAGACGTTTCCTTTCCTCCGACACGTAACTTAAGCCTTTGATGTGTAGCATCAAGATTATTGCCGTTTACGCTTAACTATCCTGACCTTGCCATTGTGATAGGGTTTGGCAAGGCCTAAACATTGTTTAGTGTATAATGGTAAAATTTTGAGACATCGCTGTGAACAGTTCATTGCAAATTCCACAATTATCAGTTTAGCGATTGTAACTTAAATTATGTAAACCGAACAAAAAAGATGAAAGGCACCCCAAGTACGGAGAGGTGCGTGCTTGGAATTAGACTCAAGAGACAGAAGAGGAAGACGTGGATCAGAGAACTACGCAAGTTAAAGGCATCGTATTGCCACTTAAGAAAAAGTGAGTGGAGGGACGATGGTGGGTGGTGAACACTAACGATGGAGTGGCAGCGAGAGAACATCCACCGTGGAGATTGAGCAATGAATTCAGCTCACGCGTAGGTCCTGGATGGATCGTTACTTTTGCAGGACTGTGAGAGATGGTGACGGATTGGGAGAGGCCTTCATGCAGCAGGAGATCGATCATGACTGATGACTGATGATAATAACATCTCATAATGGAAATTATTACTGGTAGGAACCACCTGGTTACACCAACCCACAGGGGATTATTGTGTCCGCCCGTCGTGCATCCAAAAATGGGAGGGGTGGGGCTGGGTGGAGAGGGGAGGGTGGGGAGGGGCTGGGTGGGGATGGGCTGGGTGGGGAGGGGCTGGGTGGGAAGGGTGGGGCTGGGTGGGGGGTGGGAGGGGTGGGGCTGGTCACCCCGTGGTGCCCTTATAAAACTCAACGTTTAACCTACTCACGCCGGCTTGTGCCCGCCCTCACAGTCGGGCATATTTGCGGAATACACCACGCTGCCGCCGTTGACCCTGCAGGCCATTGACCGAGCAACCCACCGACGTTCCTACCAGCTCCCTCAGCAGGACAATGTGTTTACTACCGTCAATTAGTTTTTTTTCTGGCAATACTTTTGAATAGTATTTTCGAAATTCGAAAAAAATTACAACTTATAATCCTTTCTAAAAAAATTTGTATTACCGGTTTGTAATACTGTACGCAGTTAATGCCATTTTCACTTTTATCGTAACAAACACCCCACCAACAAATGTTCGGCTTCAACTTGAGTTGAGATGCTCATAGTATTCACACGTAAACAAGCCGCGAGGAAAACGACTCCCAGAGTCCGTGGCATTTGTCATTTCCCCAGTTGAAGGCACTTCCTTTCTGCAATGTCAGATTTTTCCCAATAAGTGCCCACTGGCTGCGTCCGCAGTCAACTGTCGCGAGCCAGCGTCTGACTCGAGCCTAACATTTCGTGAAAAATTCTTCATTGCAAAAACGTACAAAGAAGTTCGCTTCGCTTTTGAATATATCGGAATGCGGGACAATGGCTTGAAAAATCAACAACCTGGGCAAGTATGTCTGTACTGTATCTAGCAAAATGCATTCATGGATGGAAATGTTTTACCCTTCTTAATCATCCCATTACCACACGGTGTTTTTTTTTTATCCAAGAGCTGAATATTAGTTCAATTCAGGGCCTGAGCAACCTCCCGGCACGTGGAGAGATGTGTCGGACACAGTGCCGTGCAACACGCTGCACAACCCCGACACACATCGGAGAGCTTCATGGCAAATCCGAGGAAACCCATGCAGAAATTCTTTACCGCTCAAACAAGATATTGGGTGGTACCCGTTTCCACTGGCTGCTCTAAGCCGCTGCTGGACATTGTACGTTACCATGGTGGGGGGCCAGACTTTCCCCAGTCGGTGAACTACTGTTGACTTGTACATGGTGCTCATTTTAATGACCTCGTAGGGATGATTCGGATTTGATTGTGAGTTGATTGTTCAAACGCAGCAGTACAGCCTGGCCAGCCGGAAGGCACGTGCATACAAACATTCAGCCAAGTGGAATCACCACGGTACAACCAGCTTAAAATTGAGTGGACATAGCAAATGCAGACCCTTGTCCATGACTTAACTAGCCTTGACAAGAAACCAAATGCAATACAATCTGAATTCATGAAAGCATCTGAATGTGACTGCATCTCGAGATGCTATACAGAATCAGTGGGCATGCTTAAGTTATAGACAGGAGGCAGTCAGTCATAAACAAAGCAGAAGGGTGGCTTGGACGTGGACTCAAAGAGGAGTAGGCAGTCAATGGCATGGATGGCTGGGGGAGTGTAGCCAAAAGCCCAATGCGTCTTATTGTGAGTTCATATTCTTAGGTTTTTTCGGTAAAGTCACGTAGGTAAAAAACTAAAATTAATAAAAGTAAAATAAAAATAAAATAAAAATCATTTTTATTTTACTTTCATTAATTTTTATTTTTTACCTACGTGACTTTACCGAAAAAACCTAAGAATATGAATCCTTGCAGTCACGAAAGCTTCAAATCTAGAATTGTGAGTTCAGTCCAAGAGTGCAATCTCCTTGACCGGGATTTGAACCTTCGCACTGTGCGTCGAGCACTCTAAGGACACTGCGCCTTGGCAGAATCTTAAGAGTCAGGAATGGCCTTAGTTAGAGTGTTGTGGCCGTATTGCGCATAGCTCAACGTTATTGCAACATTATTACGCTTTATCAGTTCTAAATAATTTAAGTGAATCAATTTTATGTTTGTTCCGTTTCAGTTTATGATTGTGTTTCAGTTGCAATTTTAATTTAAGTTTTTGTTTCAACATTCTTAGGGTCACATTTGTTTCCTAATTCCTCACTTGCAAATAAAAATAAGATCTCGCCAGTGCTAGATAAAGGGGGAAAAACTGTAAATAATCTAATGTCTGCTCGGCATAGTTCTCCGAGTAGAGTCACAGATTCACATTGCAATGATTGTGAGATCATATTCCTATCAGGGTTAACTCCGCACATCATCATTACAATCATCATTATTGTCACCATTGTGATGATTGTCATCATCAAAATAAGCCATCATTATGGTGACCATCATCATCTGTCAGAATCACCATGATTGTTGTCATCATCATTACCATAATCGTCCACTTCATCACGATCATCATCATCACTTCTGCTAAGTGTGCACCACTCTTAGAGCAGGGAAGCCACCACCAGTTGTGTTGTGGAAAGTCTGAGCCCTGCCACAGGAACGTACAATTTCTACCAGTCTGCAGATATGCTACTGCTCATTTACACTATGAGATCTCTTTTACCAGTGACAATATATAGCAGTAGGTTTTTACCCTTTTAAACTGGTACAAAAGCCGTCTCGGGTGTGGACCAATCAACTTAAAGGACAGTGCATATTATTATCATTATCAGAGTTGCTTCTTTTTGTTTGCTTTTTTGACTACTTGTGTTGTGGTTATTGCAAACATGATGTCTTGAATAAAGGTGTCAGTTTTGTACCAGTTTGAAAGGGTAAAAACCTACTGCTATGCTACTGCTCAACACAGCATCGGAACAAGTCGACCTCTCAAACAAACGTTTACATTTTTTTTTAGGGGGGGGGGGTTACTTACCTTTTTGAGCACGCTATCTAGAGTCTCGGGCCGGCTGATGTCAAAGCAAATGAGCACAGCGTCCGAGTCGGGATAGGAGAGTGGCCGGACGTTGTCGTAATACGGGGACCCTGGGCGCACGCGGCCACAACACACAACGTGTACGTCAAGGCTGGTAACGAACTATTAAACTATAATACTCTATTTTTTTGTATTTTAACCAGGTAAGGCCCACTGAGCTATGTAGCTCTTTTTTCAAAAGCGACCTGGCCACAAATGATTGCCCAATGAGGTGGCTTATGGAAATTTAAAGCAGCCAAAAACTCTAAAGCAGCCAAAAACTCTAAAAACCGGAGGACCTCGAGAAAAATCCACGCGACCATGGGAAGAACATGGAAACTCCAAATATAGAGCAGGGATCAGGTTCGGGATCGAACACCACCACCACCTCCTGCATACCAGGCGAGGTAGTTAACATCTCGCCACTGCGGCGCCAGAGGTCACCACTGAGAACCTGGGTTTGAATCCAGGTATCTCCCCGTGATTCATCCGGGGTTCTCAAGTGTGGTGAATCGATTGTTTTAGGCCAGTCACCAATGACTGCACAAAAAAAAAACACCGTCACTTTAAAAAAATGGTTCTGCACTTCAATGACGGACAAAGGAAAGAACGTGCCCGAGAAAGATGATTGCCGTGGAAATGGATTAATCATATTCAGTGGTGGACAAAACATGGCTAATGATGGGTCTGCCAAGGGGTAGCCATTTAATTGAAACGACCCATCAAAGAAGCGTGACACAATCAACTTAAGCGACCATTTTTATGAGAACAGTACATTTATATTTTAGTGCAATGTGTAAACGCCGTGAGATTTAGTGGAACGCTAATATGTGTGGTGTACAGTGAACCAGCAATAGCTGAATTATATCTGTGAGGAGGGCTTCAATGCTGAAGGCGACCAACGAGGTTGCACACACTCACGCGCTCATGCATTCTAACAAAGGACCCGAAAGCAAATGTAGGACATTAAACAAACGTACTACGTATGTATGTTGAACTTCTTCTTGGTTCTTTTGGTAAAGTCACGTAGAATGGAAATAATAAAATAATACAAATGAAACATAATAAAATAATTCTTACGACGTTTCGGCCACAACGCAAGCAGCCGTCCTCAGGTGAAGAACAGGTCTGTCGAGAAGACAGAGTCTGACAGACCTGTTCTTCACCTGAGGACGGCTGCTTGCGTTGTGGCCGAAACGTCGCGAGAATTGTATTTTATTATATTTTATTTTTATTATTTTATTATTTCCATTCTACGTGACTTTACCGAAAGAACCAAGAAGATGAATCCCTGCAGTCACGAAAGCTTTAAATCGAAATATGTTGAACTTCTTTCGCACTGTACGTAGCTAACTGTGCTAATCTGGGGATGTGGGGGAAGGACATCAAACTATACACAAAAAGCAGTTCTAAAGAAATTCGTTTTCAATTTACATTTAAAAGTGCATAGCTCCAGTGGCTTTATAAATGGCTGGAAAAGCCCATCTGAAAGCGCGCGATGCAGCGACCGTCTTTGTTAGATGGTTAGCCAAAAGCTGCTGCTGCTGTTGCGAAGGTGACCGGAGTTCGCCTGATGATTTATGCTCCTTGACGAGATCAGCAAGGCATTGTGGTTCATTTGTGGCAAGCACTTTGTGTGTAATGAGTGCGACGTCATAACCATTAAGCGGATCACCTTCACGCCAGTCTGCATGGCTTGCACTCAATTCAGAGTTCAGGTCCGCCTATCAAATTTCGATTCGACATCACGAAGCATTTTCCTACCGTCTATTTTTCAAGCAGACCCACAATACGTTCAGTGACATCCGCCACAAGACAAAGGCCGTTTGAGTGGCCGCGATTTAAAGGGCCACTTTATTTCCAACACAAATTACCCGCCGGTGGCTGCTGTAAATGGGAATGCAATTGTCAACTCCGTGGAAATTGTCTCTGCGGCGAAGAGCGCCAGCTCCTAGGCTGGGGTTACGTCGTGCGTAATGAATTGCTGCACTGCAACAAATGAGCTTTCCAAATTGCCACCGTTTATACCGTGTTGATGGTACTCGAGTGCAATTTGGCTTCGTGCAGCGTTGAAATGCGAACGCATCTCAAGATGTTGGAACAGAAACAGTGGGCACATTTATTTTACGGAGAGACAGTCATAGGCAGAGGGGATTTAAATATATACACAGTATAGATACACACGGCAAATATTGACATCCTGCAAGCAAAGGTTTCTCACCTGAAGTGTCCCACATGTTCAACTCAATCGTCTGCCGCTCAATCTCAAAAGTTGCCGTGTAGTTCTCAAACACAGTGGGTACATAATTCTGTTGAGAGAAGAAAACAAACGTCATGAATTGTTGTGCTGTGGCATTTATTTGAGAGTTATTCCATCAGGTTCCTGATGATTTGCTTTGTTAAAAGACATTTTTCATTTTTGTTCAAAAAATAATGTACTCGTTCTTTTTCAACGTTTCGACTTTCGACCTGTTCCCGATTCCTGTAACATGTTTAGCATGTACCAATATTTGCTATTTCTATAGCGACCTATGTAATCATGATTGCAACTAAGATCTGTTTTGTATAACATGCGTACTGCCACAAGACGCCCATGAAATTGAGCCGAGCAGCTAATTGGGCCATTCCTGCTCAAGTAAATAAATTCTGAAATGTAACAAAAAATCTTATTTCAGGCACTTCTGTTTCCTCTAAAATGCTAAAAAAAACGTAAAATCTCAAAAGAGGAACTGTCCAAATGTAAAAATGTAGAAACTAAATAAGATCTTGAGACATAGTGAGGGTTCATATTCTTAGGTTTTTTCGGTAAAGTCACGTAGGAAAAAAATTAAAATTAATAAAAGTAAAATAAAAATAAAATAAAAAATCACGACGTTTCGGAGGCAACACAAGCTTCCGTCTTCAGGTGGAACCGTCACAGCACGACAGCTGTATCAAGTGAAAAAAGTGGAAGAGAAAAAAAACATAGTGAGGGCTTAGAACTTTACCATTACTGGGGTGGCTTGGAGGCCCAAATATCACAGCACTGAGGAACGGCATTCGAATCTGGGTTTCAGCCGCTTATAAATTAAACAGTGTGCTTAAGTGGCATGAGTTTGATGGTCTCACGATTTAGTCACAAATGACTGCACAAAAAATTAGGTTAATACATAACTTGACTGAATTCCGGTTACTGCTGCTGCTGGCATCTCCAGAAGCTGTAATTAAACTGCAATTGTGCATGGGGAAAGCTTAACAGAACAAATACTCAACACGGAGCCCAACCCTGAAATCAGCACTCGGACAATTGCATCTTGTTAAATAAAAATAGCCTAAAATATGCATACATTTAATATTTGCAATGGCAAAATAAATACTTTCCATCTATTTCCTTCATTAATCGATTATTAGACAATCAGTTTTCATTTGTTATCTAGCAGGGCAGGCATGAGAACTGTATTTCCATAGAGTCAACGACAGTGAAAATTCGTGCCATTTCGACAGCAGGCGATTTTTCAAATTAGATATTTGATCAAAGAGTCTGACTACACAATGTCCTACTCTTGTGAATGCTAATGTCTCATGACTTTAAATGTACATTTTATGGAAGATGATGTAATGTATTTAATAACATCCACAGATAGAAATTACCAGGTGCCTGGAGTGGTATTTGAATGATTAGCCAAATACAAATGCTTTGAGTGGTGAGTAGGAATATAGTAATACATCAACTCAATGATTCAAATAATTTCTAATGCTCACTATACGTACATCGAAATGCGTGGTTAAAAGTAAATGATCTACTTCTGTGTTTTAACATTATATTATTTACAATTTATGCAAACCGTCAGTCTCATGCACTCTGCTAAGAGTTGGTTCATCATTTGGCAATAAAACTGACTGGGGTGGAGTGATGGTGTAGTGGATCGCACACCACGCTATGAACTCGATGTCCTGAGTTGCATTCCTGGCCACAGCTCGCATCGGTGGTGAATGAAATCTGAACCGATCCTGGGCCTCCCAAAGTCGCTTCGGCCTTAAATAAGGACCTGGTGTGCATTTTGTAAATACTGTATCAGCACTGGGGGTAGCACTGCTTGGTCACAACAACACCCCTCGTGTACACATGTGGTCTGCAAAGGTGCTCTCTAAAACAGGGCTTTCCCGTACAGTCTGTATGGCTATACGGGGGTGTATGCTTTTAGATTATCCTTCAGCCCTTCGTCAATCCACTGCCGGATGAAAGCCGCCGGTCCATGCTATCGGTCAGAGGGGATTGTTTCACCGTACTTCACCACGCCGGTCAATGCGGGTTGGTGAATGATGGGGGATGATATCACTCGCAACCGATGCTACCCGCGGAGGCCAGGAATCGAACTCTTGACTGCACCACTGCCCTCGCATCCATCGATGCTTTCTGTGTGCGTATTTACGTGTCTTGCTCCTTGTGTAAGCCAACAAAGGCCCTCTTTGTGTTGGTGAACTCGTGCAGATGCTCCCCAATTCAAATGTGCCCCCATTGGAAGGGGCATTACATTAACAACCACCCCACCGCCCCCAGTCTCCCGCCTTCTTAAGAAAACATAACCGCGTGTGTGGACCCCACATAGCAACCGAGCCACCCATGGGAATAGCCCAACCAAGGCACTTTTAAAACAATGCTGGCATTGTCACATGCGGTCAGAATTAACGCGCGGCCAATGAGCCTGGAGAAAAAAAAAATCACCGCAGCTATGTAGCGATTAAACACAACCAGACGTTAGCATTCGAGTATTATGACTGATTCATCACAATCGGTTGTCCCTTCCATCAATGGAGTAGTTAAATTGCGTTTACTTCGCCCGGCATGTTTCACCCTATTGTGTCCACGCACAGTGCGCACTTTCATTTGCACCGCACAAATTGAATTTCAACCGCCCGGTCACACCCTCTGCATTGAACAAACGTATACATGCATTTGTAATACACAATGCGACATAGACAAATAATAATCACACACATGACCCCCCCCCCCTCACTCCTCTATGGCCTAAACAGACTTGGGGCAAGTGCTGTTAGAGAGTATTTAGGAAGCCAACACGGGCACACGGCAGGGTGAGGGTGGCCTGCACCACACCCGGCCGTCTTTGTCTCCCCAGTGCTGATGTTTACCCATTACATGTACTGTACATGTGTGCATTCACACACACACACACCATATCCCATTTGCATAAATACATCGACAGACCATATATACAAACGCAATTACATACACCACATACATGTATACATTTTTTCTAGATTTGAAGCTTTCGTGACTGCAAGGATTCATATTCTTAGGTTGTTTCGGTAAAGTCACGTAGGTAAAAAATTAAAATTTATCAAAGTTATCGTGCTGTGACGGTTCCACCTAAAGACGGAAGCTTGTGTTGCCTCCGAAACGTCGTGATTTTTATGTTATTTTTATTTTACGTTTATTAATTTTCATTTTTTACCTACGTGACTTTACCGAAAAAACCTAAGAATACATGTATACACACATAACACCAAACACATACATTCACAAAGACGCACATGCGAAAAATTACATGCCCTGCCAATACGCCACTAACCTTGGCCTCCCCCACACACACATTCATTAGCATCACGCACACAATGCACCATACACAATACATCCAGATACACCAAGGACAAAGATCCCCCGTTTAGCCTTAACAGACTGTTGGGGCAAGTGCTGTTAGCGAGCACCTATGAAGCCCGGCACTATGGCACACGAGGGGGTGGGTGGCCAGCACCACGCCTGGCCGCCTTTGTCTCCCCAGTGGCGATGTTTACACATCGCACTTGTATGAGGCTGCTGAGTCTGAAATGAGTTCCACAATACAATCTGCATTCATAACATGCGCCATGCACATTGCATTAATGTACACAATACAGTACACATATACACAATACACATGTACAATACATCAACATTCACACATACTATACACCACACACACTTACCACATATACATTCACACCACCATACACACACAATATTCAACACTACACCCCAGCATTCATGTTCATTCAACGTGGCCGCGCATACTGTGAATTAATGCACACACGCTACACACCCCATGGCACACACATCATGTGCTATAACATACATTCACAGAAAACCACACACCAGGTTGTCATTCAAGGCCGAGTCGACCTAGGTTGCGAACGCAAAGTGCCCTAACTACTGCGCCACCGCTCCCACCACACACACACAGAGCGCGCTAATCACTGCGCCACCGCTCCCCACACTCACTACACACACACAGCGCGCTAACCACTGCGCCACCGCTCCCCACACTCACTACACACACACACAGCACGCTAACCACTGCGCCACCGCTCCCCACACACTCACTACACACAAAGCACGCTAACCACAGCGCCACCGCTCCCCACACACTCACTACACACACACAGCGCGCTAACCACTGCTCCACCACTCCCCACCAACACACTTCACACACACACAGCGCGCTAACCACAGCGCCACCGCTCCCCACACACTCACTACACACACAAACAGCGCAATAATCACTGCGCCACCGCTCCCCACACACTCACTACACACACACACAGCGCGCTAACCACTGCGCCACCGCTCCCCACACACTCACCACACACACAGCACGCTAACCACTGCGCCACCGCTCCCCACACACTCGACACACACACAGTGCGCTAACCACTGCGCCACCGCTCCCCACACACTCACTACACACACACAGCGCGCTAACCACTACGCCACCGCTCCCCACACACTCACTACACACACAGCGCGCTAACCACTGCTCCACCACTCCCCACACACTCCACACACACAGCGCGCCAACCACTGCTCCACCACTCCCCACCCACACACTCCACACACACACAGCACGCTAACCACTGCGTCACCGCTCCCCACACACTCCACACACACAGCGCGCTAACCACTGCGCCACCGCTCCCCACACACTCCACACACACAGCGCGCCAACCACTGCTCCACCACTCCTCACCCACACACTCCACACACACACACACAGCACGCTAACCACTGCGCCACCGCTCCCAACACACACTCACCACACACACACAGCGCGCTAACCACTGCGCCACCGCTCCCCACACACACAGTGCGCTAACCACTGCGCCACCGCTCCCAACACACTCTCACCACACCCACACACACAGCGCGCTAACCACTGCGCCACCGCTCGACCGCCCGGCGGACAATAGGCGGCGACTCGCCTGAGATTGCGCGGACGAGAAGAGAGATCGTTGCACGTACCGCGACCTCGTCTGCTCTATTGCCCTGCGCTGTCTATCGCTCAAGAGTCGTGCCGAGCGAGGGCAGATCGCGAAACCGTCGGAAGGAGAATTCAGCACGGATTGGGGGAACGTGGCACGGCAAAGAGAGACAGACGCACCCCCCACCCCCCCGGCAGCACAGACGGGGAGCGAGAGGGACACAGAGAGAGACAAACAGGGTCGAGCTGATCATCAGGAGGAAGCGGTAGGAGACGGGGACAAGGCGAAGGACAAGACAATGGGTTGGGAATGATCGAGGACAAAGATGAGTTTCTCGCCTCGGGGAATCGCTCCTTGGCGAACACCGAGATGAGCGCCGTTTTCCCGCAGCGGCTGTCTCCGACCAGCACCACCTTGCAGCGAGGAGCCGGGCTCCACGTTCTCATCACCAGCATCCTCCTCCTTGCTGCTGCTGCTGATGCTGCTTCTCCTGCTGCTGCCGATTCTTCAGCTGTGGTTGCTTCTGGCAGCGACAACGCAGACCGTTCAGTCGGCCAGCAAGACGACAGAGATGGCACACGGCCACGCACTGGGTTTTATATATGACTCGAGGTGTCCTGCTGCCACAACTGCCTTGTGGCACTATCGTGTGTCACCCCCGATTAGCGAACGAAGCAGCGACCTGCGTCTACACACGTTCGTGTTTGTGTACTGTTTGTTTGCTGTAACGTTCTCACCTCGTGCCCCCCTACTGGACACGTGTGGAAAAAAAGAGCTTGATAGCTCATCGGATTTCTCCAGTATAAATATAAATATTCCGATTCTTGAAAATGAAAAATGTTCTGTCCCGTGTCGGACTGTGCTGCATCACGACTGGCCCCGTGTCAAATTGTCCTGTGATGTGAAATCCACAGCAAGAAAATTTTCTTGCTGTGGATTTCGCACCTGATGACGGTTGCTTGTGTTGCAGTCGAAACGTCGTGAGAATTTGTATTGTTTTATGTTTATATTATTTTATTATTTCCCTTCTACGTGACTTTACCGAAAGAACCAAGAATATGAAACTATATCCTGTTCTGTAAAATAATGCCCCGTTCTGTCTATTGAGAATGCAACGAGGCTGTCCTGCGTTTGAAGACTATATTAGTATTATCATCCCCTTGCATCATGGTCCTGTGTTGTCTGACCTGTCAGGCTGCCCTCGATCATACCCGACCTGCCCGATTGGCGTAAAATGCTGCATAACCTCCATCAACTCGCATTGACCTGCGTGGTGAAGTATGGTCAAATACCCCCCCACCCCACCCATCTCCCAATGCCACGCACGATACGGGGAGGCCCTCATCCAGCAGTATATTGACAAAAAAAAGCCAATAGGTGTTCACACAAACACAATCTACATCAGATCCAGTTCAATGATGACGCTCAACACCCAACAAAAGCCTGACCTGTTCCATCCCTTGCCATCCCTATCGTTCATTACACAACGCGAGGCTCACCTGCAACACCTTGGCGTGCCATCGCAACGCACATTTGCCTGTTGCACATTTTAAACAATTGCACGACATCTCTCGTTAAAAGCTGAGACTCGTCTGCCTCCCCGTCCCATGAAACAACGACCGTTTCATTACCCCCCGTTGTATAATATCAACGCCGACGCGCATATCAACGCCGACCAAATTGCCCCTGCGTCAACACAAACGAGCCCCTATAGGGCGAGACACCTGGCCAGTGAACCTGCATTGCAGTTGCCGAATTTCAACGCAGGATTATTGGGCTCCGCTCAGCGCCGTCGCTCTGCGATTGTCCTCCACGGTACGCGCATGACGATCGTCAGGAACGGAATCGCTCAATCGCGCTGTTTTTTTATCCGTAAAATAATAAAGTAATCGGCGCGATGCAGGCTCGACAGAAGGCGCAAGCGCATTGATTCGCACCGATGGCGTGAGACGAGCAGCGTCACCAAATCGGAGAAGACATTCGTGGTGCCGTAGACTTATACCCACGGCAGACTGACACGCAATACGCTATCGGCACGACGGAAACACGCAGTGCTCGCGAGGCTGCTGCGATGAGAGCCCTCCCTCTCGTCCGTGCGGATCTCTCTCTCTCTCTCACACACACACGGGCAGGGGCAAGTGTTTGGGCTATTTTATTTATATTTTTATTTCTACAATATTATACGTGCCGCTGACGTCATGGTCACTTGTGAATGGAGCGGGTCGAAACCAATGAGAATGAGATTCATGCTGCATCCGACGCCACACAATGTTGCCTTTCACAGAGCACGTGTTTAATGACTTTAGCCAATTGTACTCAATGGGGGGGTCGATAAAATTAGTTACAGCTTTGTGGGAGGTTTAGCAGTGGTTGGGTAAATTAAGACTGTGGGCAACTGCCATGGGATTGTGGAATTGTCCAACACGGACTCAGGATCTGCACAGTAGAACTGCGAGACACATTAACTCGACACAATGATGTAATGTCAAGTTAAATTGGCAAGCCATGTAAGAGTTGGAAGTACTGTGCACAATATATGAACACATCTTGCATGTTTTAAAAGTGTTATTTTAAAAGGCTTGATTCATTAAGGAATGACTGATTATGTCAGTGATAGGGATAATTTCAACTCCCATGAGGTGTTAATTTCCACGACTGCTAATATCAAGTGTACACCATTTTCTCCGCAGTGCATGTTAATGACCCTGTAACACGTCATTTATTTGCACAGCATTTTGAAACTAGGGACCCAAGTTCGATTTCCGACCACGGCTAACATCAGTGGGCGAGTGATAATCTAATGTCCTGTGCCACCACCCTTCCAACGGCACTGACCAGCGACACACCGGTTCAAACAACCACGCCTTCATGGCTGACAGCACATGGGCACGTTCATCCAGCAGTCAAGTCATGCCATCACCACAAATACCTATTTCGGAAGTGGGTAGTAATTCTTGGCTGGCGATGCTCATCCTTTTGACTACTTTTGGGTTCTCGAATTATAGGTGGAAGGAAAAACATTTCAATAAGTCAATACAGTAATAGCAACAGCATTCGATTGTGTAATGTATACAGCATGCAACTTGAACTAATGTGAAACATTCATACACATTTTTACAATGGACAATTCGATTTTGGCTAATCCTATAATTAAACATGGATTTCGTGGCCATGTTGGTGATAAGATTAACAAGATTTTGTTCAACCAGAGTTTTGGTTTCGTTAACCTCTGGCCTTCAGGACCAGTTTTCCAATAGCAAACGAAGCAGGCAAACTCTGGAATGTTTTGACATTCTTGGGCTCGACAATTCATGGGTGAATAATAGTTTGTATATTTGTATTAAACAGGCCCTGTAGTACGAGGTGGTTTCTTGTCTGTTTTTCTTTACGTGGTAAGAGACGTATGTCTCTTATGCTAAAGTTCAGCTGTCCAATGCGGACTTCCCTTCATTTTTCTTATCGAGTTTCCGTTCCTTTTTCAAATTCTTCACTTGTTTTGACACATCTTCGCTACAGCCTTACCGTGCAAACTATCCTCCCAGTCCATGACACAGTGACATTTCAACATGTAAAGAAAATATATTTAATAGTGAGGTTGGAAATAACTTGCCACACCTTCGTAAACTATAAACAATAGTTAGACGACACAAGCAACATACACGCGAGCTGAAGCAAATCATAAATGATGCAGTAAAGTCGACAGAAGCCTTTATTTCTCATCACTGAGCACAATTTAAAATAGCCTATGAAAATGCCGGTCAGAAGCACTTCTCGTCGTCGAATTCAATGAACCTCTTAACCTGCACCGTCCGTGGAGTAGTTACCATGACGCTTTTTGTCTGTTTTGTACCATAAAAATCACAATCCTATTTTGACTTCAATTAATTTAAATATAAGTTGCTTTTTTCACATCAACAACCAGTCTGAATCCTAGAATTAGGATATAGACTGAGTAAATATGGGTCCATATTTCGTTTTTCTGGAGAATGCAAGTTTTAGTTTTAATCAACCTGAAACATGTTTGGTCTTTCTCCCCATTTTTACCATGAGTGTCATGATTCAAAGCATGCATTTGGAAAGCTCAGACCACAGTGCAGCCCTGTATATGCTTGGAAGAACAGCCAGTAGCATAAGACTTTCAAATACATTCTATTGACATCCCTTTTTCGTCGACACGTGCGCCGTTATGACAATTACCCGACGACATCGGATGTTTATTCATTTACAGAGCTGGAATTTAGTCAAATCAAATGAACGTTCAATTTTAATGAGATAAGATTTTTTTGGAGGGGAGGGGGGGGTCTGCTAACTGGACTGACCCCATCAACTCACTCGACTTGAAAAACCTAGCATCCGAGTGGTTGTCAGCTCTGTGCCAAGGTGACCGATACACACAGCCACCTCTGCATTATTGCTGTAAAAACAAAATCATACATTTCTAATGATGGGAAAACGTATTCACAAGGGACTCTACTAAACCTTTGAGTCCTTACAAAATTGAGCATGTATTGCTCGGAATATAATGATCCATCAGCCTCGCGATTTCATGAATTATCACGATTCAGAGTTGATTCGATAATCATACAGTATTTGGCCATTGAATGTAGCTACAGAGTTTAAAAAACTAATTATATGTAATATATATGAATGCAAAATAAAAAAATGTACAAGTACAATTCTATGCACGTATAATCAGTACAAGAATAAATTCTAATCAATGCATTGTCAAATTCTGTTTGGATACGCAGGCCACATAAGGTCGTAGGGATATATAATTATAACTCCATAGACAATTCCAAAAGAGGTGAATCAGGTAAAGAGAGGTCATTTTATATTTACATCATAAAATAAAACACAGCCACTCTTTTTCAAACTTCTATTAAGACTAATAGCAGGTTCAGGCTGAAGTGCGAAGTATATACATGCTCTCCGTTGCATTGTTGCAAGCTGCTGAGGAATATTTCTGAAGGCTTCAAAGTCCCACACGCATCTTGGCGTGTGTGGCATTGTTGGAGAAAAGCATCCACGTATACAAGTGCAGCACCTGCGCAGGGCTTCACCGAAAGATGTACGCTGTCAGCTGCACTTGCCAACTCCTGTGCCATCAGAAAGTGGCCTGAAACGCCTTGCGCACGCAGGTGAAGAAGACATTCATGGCTTTGGTTTCCCGGAGGCGGTCGAGCAGCTCAGGCATGCAGGAGATTGGTGGCTGGCAGTCCGTGACTTCACCAACAGGGAGGGGTGTGGTCACAAAGGACAGAACACAAAACAAAACATTGCTATGTTGTACAAAGGTTATGTCGGCAGGATGCCACAAGAGTGTCTTACCATTTGAACCTCATTTGCCAGTAAAAAATGATAATTGTTTTTTTACCCTTTTATCTGGCAACAAAACTGACACCTTTTTTGCTTACCCCGAGCTCTCATACTCTGATGGTGCATTGTCTTAAGAGTTGTGCACCTTTTGGCGTCATATGGTCCAACACCATGTGAGACTGAGCTCTAAGGAAAGCTGTCTCGGGTGTGGACCAATCAACTTCAAGGACAGTGCATACATTATCAGAGGTTGTTTTTGCATTATGACTGCAGGTATTGTGGTCTATGCAAACATGACTCCTTGTAAAAAGGTGTCAGTTTTGTTGCCAAATAAAAGGGTAAAAAAACAATTATCAATTATCAAGAGTGTGTTAATTAACAGAAGAAAAATCACACGGAGTTCATTCAAAGAACTGTGTCCGAAACACATATGGTCAAATATCTCACTTGTTTAGAGGAATTGGATAAAATCCTAGTCAGGGCCAACTAAGAGCATCATCAATTCAAATCGCTTGACAGGCCACTCCAAGTGTCTTTGCAGCTCTCATTTAGCTCGTGGGCCACTCGTTGAAGAACACCGATTTACAGCACAGTTCCTGCCATGGCAGTGTGCAATTTACACATCTGGTTCAGGATCAGCCATGGAACAACAGGGCACACCAAATAATTAAATGAACAAAGCTTCACTTGCCATATACTCACATAAGTCCTCAACCACACCCACGTATATACATATTTTTGTGGTTACATATTCGTTGGGAAGCAATGGAGTAGTGATTAGTCCACTGCGATATGGACCCAGAACCCCAAGTTTGATTCCCAACCACAGCTAACACCAGTGGCGAGTGATATATAATCCGCTTATGGACATCCCCAGCCCCTTCACCCACTGGCACTGACCAGTGTGGTGAAGTATGTTCAAACAAATCCCAATGACCTTCATCCAGCAATGGATTGACAAAAGTATCTATATCTATGTTATCCAAATATTCTTCTTTCTTCTTCTTGTTCGTCCATCAAAGTTGATGATGACCATTGCACGTTTGTCATTTTGTTGGGTTTTGATGAGTGCGCAGATGGCTGAAGAGGCCAATCCGAGCCCGGAATTCTCTGTGGCACACTGGGACAGGTCAGGGAGGATGTAGAGCTCTGAGGTGCAGCCACACGTCCTTCCTTGGTAGATTTGCGCTGCTGCCTCTTCAAGATAGCACAGGAGCTTCTCCTACTCTCACAGAGGACTGCACCGTCCTGTACTTTTCTTCTCCAGGCAGGTCGGTCCTGTGCTAGGGATCCAAATATTATACACTAGCAGTTGTTCAGGGACGTCTGTCTGACTGCAGCGCCCCCTGCATGATATATGAGTATATCTGATTCTCAGTATGCCCCATCAAAAGTGCTTTACAAATAGCGGAAAACAACTTGGCACCTAGGAACATATTAACTCACGTTGCGTTCACTGTCAATCAGTTTAGCATCATCCTCACCTTCAAAGCCTCCTTCTGGCAGAAGGTGTATCGTGAATGTGCAGGGCTGCGATGGGTCTGACGGATTGATGTTTCTGAAGACAAATTGAAGGTTGCCCCCTGTAGAGTGAAATGAAAATTACATTAAAACAATGAACTGGCAACAGTTTTCAATTGCACTCTCATGGTCTGAGTGTATATACAATCATCAAGTGATGGGTCGCCCTCATCGATGTCCGCAGTCCTAAACCAGTGTAAAAATAAAACTACTCCATATTCCTAGAACCAGGGTGATCCTCTGTATAGGGCTATTATATGGAGACTTAATCTAATAGCATAAATGAGGACTGCAGCCTTTGCAGATCAATTAATCTTCTGTAACTGGTGCTCATGTGTGTATAATCACAGCACACGATATACAGCTTAAACTTTGTACAGGGATAACACACAATGCGCAATTTAATTTAATTAATGGCACATGCAGTTATATTCGTTTTCTTATATCTATACAGTAAAACCTTGGATTGCGAGCATAATTCGTAACGGAAACGTGTTTGTAATCCAAAGCACTCGTACATCAGTTGTGATCACGTGACGCTCGGCAGATAAAGCGTATACACGTACTACTCGTATTGCAAGACCTCGCTCGTTTATCAAATTAATATTTATTTTAAAATTTTGCTCGTCTTGCAAAACACTCGCAGACCAAGTTACTCGCAATCCAAGGTTTTACTGTATATAAAAATAAAATGTCCCAGTCATGCAGAGGTTTGGTTCACCAAAGGGGTGAGTGAGTAGAGGGAGTTTAGTCTAAACTGTTCATGAAGTAAGGCTGTGTTGTCAACATCAGGATAACGGTATAGCGTACCGACAGGCTTCCTGCTCTGAACAAAACAGCTCAGGTCTCATTGTTTTAATGTGAGATTGCAAAAAAAAGGGTCTGCGATGCCAACAATTGTTTTCTATGAATGCCGATTGTCATATTAACACTTCGATGCGACTGCACGTTGCATGTTGACTGGAGCTGTAAGTGAATACCAATTGTGAAATCAACAACGTGGAATTTGTCCACTCCCATTATTTTCATGGCACCAGTTTGACTAGCCACCAAATGGTGCCGTCTCACCAGCTGGTACACATAATTTTATTGTCACTACTCAGGGTCATGATTCAATCTGAGTATATATTGTTTTGTTTGGTTTGTGTCTTGTCCATAATGTGTGATTTATACCATCTCAGTTTTACCATCCCACTTGTACTGGCCCATAAAATATATTCATATACCATATCATCTGTACTGCTTCACGTGTTGCCTGCACTGTCTAGTTTATACCATAACCACCGTGTTATTCTGCTTCATTTTTTCACAACTCTTGTCTGTATGGTCTCATCTAATTTGTCCACAAATTAGACCCACGGCAGCCTATGACACCTGTTATGCATGGCGGTTTCTCTCCCAAGCACTGTTCAGGTTGAACCACGCTTAGCTTTCAAGATTTGATAAAATTGAGCATTTCAGGTGATTTGGTCATTGGTAAAGCACAGAATATACAAAACAAAAATGCATGTTCAAGTAAATTACGAATTAATGTGACAGAATATGGAAATATTTGTATGAAATATACGCATCAGCCCATCACCCCTTTTTATTGTGTTTGTATTTGTTCCTGATAGACTCTCATATATGCAAAAAATAGGGACTCATAAGTGCTATTTTGAATTGATAGAATTTCCTACAAGCAAGGTTGGATTGGTGCAATGGTACCTTTAATTTTGCGTACTTCTATATCCATCGAATTTTGGAATAAGAACAAGGCCTTGGACAGATGCTGCATTTTTTGTTGGTTTGTGCTCTTCTTCAAGTCCAAAGCTGCACAAAAACACAAGCACATAATTAGATAAAGGCAACACACCAAGATCTCCCTCTGGTGTGATACATACTGTTGGAGCAAATGCTATGAGCGAGAAAGTATTAAGCCTGGCACAAGGGGGCAAGTGTGGCCAGCATCATGTCCCAGCAGCCTTCGTCTCTCTAATGTACGTATGTATGTTGAACTTCTTTCACACCGTACGTAGCCAACAGTGCTAATCGGAGGTGTGTATTGTGCTGCGGGATATACAGCACAATCTTGAAAAAGTTTAACACATAGGGCATTCGCGACCAATATCATCCATATTATAGGTTTTTTTTGGGTTAGATCACATAAATATGTGTCGTTAAACCCGCCAGCACCCGACACAGCCAATTAGGAAGGTTTGTCGCCTGATGAAGCTAGTTGTAATTACTGGCAAAACGTCGTGCTCAGATTGTAATTGTTGCGGCTTTGCTCTCCCAACACACCGGTGTGCTGTACTAGCAACGAATTGGCACATACTGTTTACGTGACAAACCTTACTAATTGGCTGTGTCAGGTGGTGACATGTTTAACGACACATTTATATATTTACGCGATCTAACCCAAAACAAAAATAAAACCTGTATTTTGAATCTTGAAAAATTACACGGTTTCTCTGGGAGCAAAACGTCAGGCATGGGTGGCAAACACCACCCCATATACAACCCGAAAACACAAGCACCAGGTACTTGTTTAAGGCTGTGATGACCTATGGGAAGCCCAGAACTATTTCTGTTACCACTTATAACCGATGTTAGCTGTGACTGGGTATTTAAGTCACCTGGTTCATAGCTCTTAACAACAACACGATCGCTCCCCACACATAGTTGTAACATAAGTGCAGTGTACTAAATCACCACGAAGTCTAATGTATAATCTTGTAAGTAATCTTCCCATAGCTGGCATGCCTAATTTGAAAAGTGTCGGCACTTTCTGCAGCCAATAACATCACAGAGGTCATAAGGTTTGACCACTTTGTTAAGAGTAATAGCCAAGCAGTGATACAATATGATACTGACTTTTCTGTCAAACGAGTGGGGATTTAATACCAAAACACGTTAAAATGGTCTTTATATTGGTAAATATTTATATTGACAAATGGATTGAGTTTTTGAAAATATATTAAGTAAAGCATGCGCTTTATAACTTCATATCAATGTGACTTTCATATTTTGATTCCATAACGCAGGACGAGGAGGCTTAAATACCCTGAAATATTTTACCTTGTTCCCCTGCTCAGTTTGATGGAGCTCAGTGATGTGAACCACTTCGTATTGAGTTTTGCACGTTGTATTTTTTTACTTTTAGAGCTGCATCCTTGTAATTTAAAAACAATCTAAGAATCTCACTGCAGCAACAGGAGCAGAGACACATGAGAATGGGACAAGGTAAATACTCTGCAAGGTCTCTCTTACAAATGAGACAGGTTTACTTCACCGGCCATCACCCACAAAGTCCAACACACTGCAGAAGTTCCCCAACAGCTACGGTAGGAATAAAACTGGCAGCCTCATGCAGCGGGCTCATTGACACAGCATGCACTGACCACTTGGGTCACACCGAGCCAACGAATGTTCAGAGCCTCATGCAACGGGCTCATTGACACAGCATGCACTGACGACTTGGGTCACACTGAGCCCAACGAATGTTTAAGAGAGGAAAACAAACTCACCCTTCTGGGACTCGGCCAGCTCCTCTCGCTTGCTGTTGAACTCCGCGTTCAGCAGGCTGATTTGGGCACGCTTTTCGTTGATGTTTTGCAAGACGACTTCTTTCTCTTGCCGACTCTCTGCGATCAGCGCCCGAATCTCTGCCTTCTCTGTGCTCGGGATGAGGACAACGTAATACAAAAATTAGACTTTACACTCTGAAATCGTTACTGGCATGCAATTCAATGTAATTAATTAGCTTGATTGTATCATGTTGTTTGCTTTATTAGCATAAACATTCTATTGTCATAGAATTTAATAAATTTGAATCTATTTTTACACATCACTTACTCTTAAATGTCTAATCTTTAACCAATAAACTTTCATTAAGTCATAATAAACACTATTTATTCTACAATGTAATATTAGCGGCCTGTTCTTTCTACGCGTGTCTCAATGCCCCTGTACCTGCGGCAATTTTGTTTTCCTCGTTAACCAGGTGGTTGTGGTCTTCTTCAATCATTTGTGCCGCTTCTGCGAACACAAAACAAGACACATGAGCTGCAACATTTAGAAGGGTACATTGAGCGTTTGATTGATAAAGCACCTAAATTATGTTTGCAACTCAGAGTGCTTTACAAATCAGACATCCTCGACCTAGAAATACAGTCTGAGGATTTTTGGTGGATCTCGGTTATTGACACGCTTAGACAATTCCTATTTTGAAATAACTTTCAATTTGGAATAAACCCCATACATAAAGGATATTAAAAACTCTTAAGACAGCTGTCAAAAAATCTGGTAATATTTCTTGCTACAAATACCACAATGTCATACTAATGTTACATTGTATATAGCATCATTCACACGGAGTGCATCACAACGTTTTAGAATTTGTAATTCATGGAAGCGCAAAGACCCACATACAAGCGGGAAGGCAGCTCAGCTGTATGCCGACACCCAGCCCCAGCCTGCAAAGGTGCCACCTCGGCCAGCTGGGCAATCTAGGCGAGGCCGGGGGCTCTGCACGGGACTAGGCCTCACCACTACACTCTGTGAAGTAAATACTCTTCTAAAGTCGATAGATACTCTTATAAAAGTCGGTATATACGACTATAAAGTAGGTAAGATACTACTGTAGAATTTGTAGTTACTGCTACTGTAGAGCGGGCCTTGGGGTGGGGGCGGTATCACAGCCCAGCCCCAGCCTGCAAAGGTGCCACCTTGGCCGGCTGGGCAATCTAGGCAATGCCGGGGGCTCTCGACGGGACTAGGCCTCACAACGGCACTTTGTATACTTACTAGTTACTATTATAGAGTCGATATATACCATTATAGAGTCGGTAGATACTACTGTAAAGTCGAGAGATACTACGTTAAAGTCGGGAGATACTAATGCAGTCAGTAGATGGTACTGTAGTCAGTAGATACTGCTATAGAGTCAGCAGATACTACTCTAGTCAGTAGATACTACTATAGAGCTGTAGAGTCAGATACTACTATAGTCACTAGATACTACTCACTCTATTGTATGTAGGGTGTGTGTAGGCATATATGCCTACGCGGGAGTAAATATTTTTTTGAGGGGTGTCGACAATTTTCGGAAACCTTTTAGATCAAATATTTGCCCCCCACTTTCTATAACTTTTTGGACTTCTGCAAGCCTCTTATTATTTTGTTGATGGACAAATGGACACACAGCACGCCGGGCTTTCACAATAGCTTAGTATTTGTGTAGGTTTCTGTTAAGTTTTTAAGAGAAGTTTTGAAATATATTTTTCCCCTGGGCAATGCCGGATACTTCCCGCTAGTTATGTATATAGCGCATCAGATTCCTCCAGTATAAAAGATTCTGATATATAAACCAATTATACTTTTATAGAATCCACAAGATAGTGTGTTACTTATACTGTGTATCTGTAGAAATCACTCCCCCTGACGGACGTGTACTTTGTGAACAGATTTTTCATTCATTCAGTCAGTCAAACCACGGCGTACTGTTGACAATCTGAATCCATGAGTCGTGTTCCTGCCGAGGCTTGGTCAGCAACAACTGCTCAATTCCACTGGTCACGGCCTGCTGTATCGTTTCCAGGTTTCCTTTCATCTGCTCGTATATCTCGGGCAACAGTTCAAGTAAACCCGACATCTTCGGAATGTTCTGCAAAACACAAAGCCACTCTTTTAAGCAAAGACGATGTATCTTTGTTTTTAAATCCCCACAATCCAACCCAACATTTTTGTTTTGGAACATGCCCAACGTCGTGTATTTCTGAAAATTACTTAAAAGCTTTAGAGGCGTCTGTAGTACACATTGAATGCAGATAAGCCCCACAGAGGCCAATGGCACTCACAACAGAATCAGAACATTAATTTCATAGTGGATGAATCCAGTATGAGCAATACAGCTCTTTTCCACAGATGTCCAGTAAGTTCACAGATGCCCAAGTTAGTGTGAGCTGATTAATCTGTTTATCACTTAAGAGAGATGAGCCTCACGTAGGCCGATGGGTGATCTCAACTTTGAATGATAGTTTATACATTTTAAAATCATCACGTTGGTCAGTGCGGGTTGATGACGGTGGGTCTGGATACGGATCAAATGTCACCCGCCAGTGATGTTAGCCGTGACCGGAAATCAAACGCCAGGCATTGTATGTTTAACTTCTTTCACACCGTACGTAGGTAAAGCCGGGTTCATAATGCATTGCATAAGTCAACACTGAGATGGGTAAACGTTTAAGGCACGCTTTGTTACTTGTTGAACAGACAATTGTTTAGAGTTTAACAAACAACACCATTGGCAATGGGTGGTGACATTGTGAATTCCCATGCCGGTGTAAGTCGACACACTGTATATAAATCACTTCCGAGTTAACAACCCCAGATAGATGATGGGTTTAGATTTAAAGCTTTCGTGACTGCAGGGATTCATCTTGTTGGTTCTTTCGGTAAAGTCACGTAGAAGGGAAATAATGACGCTGTCTTTCCGACAGACCTGTTCTTCACCTGAGGACGGCTGCTTGCGTTGTGGCCGAAACGTCGTGAGAATTATTTTGTTATGTTTAATTTGTATTATTTTCCTTCTACGTGACTTTACCGAAAGAACCAAGAAGAAGATGATGGGTTGTTTTTAAAAGTTGATAACTGAATTAAAGACACGGGGGTCTTCTTAACACGGTGTCAATTATCTGCCCCCCACCACTTGTGCAACTTCGCAATCACAACTTACCCTCGCACACCAAACCGCACTGACCAGGCAAGAAACAACAATACAATGCAACAAAATTCCCCATGAACGCTGCGAACCCCACATAGGGCAACCCACATAACAATTAGACGTTTCGGACAACGGCCTTTTCTTTATTGCATTGTGGCGTTGTTGCGAGCCATCCATCCATCGGTAGATTGACAAAGTCTTGTACATTTGCAATGTCCTTCATCATCGTCAGCCAGTGTCTATCCGTCGCAAACCCCTCACGATCGGCGACGGCGGTCTGCGTGACCATACTTCACCACACTGGTCGTCCGTGCAGCGTTGTGGGCCCTGACAAGTTTACACAGCCGCGCACACGGCAAGCCACTTACCTCCTTACCAAAGGCTTCTGGCGAGCGATCCGGACCCAAAAAAAACAACTCTAACTCGTTAACCGTCAACTACTATATCGCGGAATTAAGATTACGCGTTTTGTTGCTGTTAACTCGCGGTTAAGTTGAATTGTTTTAGTTTTTTGTGCGCGAGAAGCGACGCGGGCGAAGGCCGAGCGCCTCCCCAACGTGAAACGGAAATAAAATTTGAATTCGGACCGTTACCGCCTCGACCAATCGCGGAGCCGAGAAGTTACCAGATACATGACGTCACTCGCACTCGGAAGTTGCGCGTGACGTCATATTTTATGGATCCGCTCGCCTGACACATCGTGACGTCATGTATCCAACACATTCCACAAATTTGTTGTGATGCTGCTGCATTGGAAGTGTTGATTTAAAGCTTTCGTGACTGCAGGGATTCATCTTCTTGGTTCTTTCGGTAAAGTCACGTAGAAGGGAAGTAATAAAATAATAAAAATAAAACATAATAAAATTAATTTTATAATAAAAATAAAACATAATAAAATTAATTTTATTATGTTTTATTTCTATTATTGTATTACTTCCCTTCTACGTGACTTTACCGAAAGAACCAAGAAGATGCATTGGAAGTGGTGCGCACAAACACACGCAAAGAAATAAAATATATAAAACGGTGGCCCTAAAAGTAAAAATATATTATTGGTAATGCTTCGGGCAATCGCCCTTCTGCATAGCACGTACCTAAGCCAGAGGAGGTAATGAGAGTTGGGAGAACTACACTTTACAACGTGGGCCCTGTTAAGCCAGGGCTGAACTTATTGGGTTAAGTCTTCAACATTTAAATGTTCATAAACAGCCATGATCAATCCACTGCTGGGTGAAGGCCTACCCAAGCCGTCACCATATTTTATGTAGCAATCCATCGAGTTCCTGCACACGAGCTGATTTCAGTACTCCGTCTCCCCAATGCACATCAGCTTGCGGAATTCACCTGCTGGTTAAATGGGCTTTGGTGGCAGGGCGTGAAGTCTCATAGCTTTTTAACAAAATGTGTATTTCTTGTTAATACGTTTTCTCTAGTTTCATTACATATGCAATACCCGAAAAGAGATCATTGAGAGCTTTCATAGGGGTTTCCCTGGGATGATTTTAATTGCCGTGACACATAACACAATGGCACCACACACGATGCTCAACTCCGCTAGCCCAATGGCAGGCATGGAAATACATAATAAAGTAACTTAATAAAGTAACTTAATAAAGTATTTTGTATTAATTTTAGTTTTTCATGATAATCAACATATATACATGATAGCAGTATTATCTCTGACTTTTATATAATACATTTACAAAAAACACAGGGAGCATGGCAGTGCCCCCAGGACTTGAACCGCAGCTCCTGGATCTCGCACGTACACTGCAGTCAAACTTTCTTTCACGTGGGTTGACAACAGTTCTTTTTGTTGAACTAAGCAAGTGACATTTTGCACATCTTTCTTTCCGTGTTGATCCAGTGCGGTCACAACTGCTTCAAAGGCAGCCCAGGTGAAAACGTGAGCTCATTATGAATCTTGTTCTCAGCAGGTCCACTTGATATCAGCACCCGGGCCATACTTGGTGCCAGGTTGAGCCAATAAGGCTGCCATGAGAACCCAGTCCGGGCCCAGGAACTGTTCGTGAATCATGCCGGGTTGCTCCCCCCTATTAGTCGTGCAGACGCAGCGACAGGGATCCACCGATGAAGAATTTGAATTCGAGAAACACCGATATTAGCTCTCTCTGGCCTGTGTTCCAAGGCAAGCATCCTTCTCTTTGGATAATGGATCCTTCTCTCCAGGGAAAGGACCCTTGTCTTCAGTAGGTGGTGCAGACCTCAGTGCCGTGGCCTCGTACACCCACACCGTGTCGATGCCCTCACCCTCCACTCGGACCGGGGCCCAGCTCGGGAATGGGAAACGGCAGGCAATGACCTCGGCCTCCTGCTTCAGTTCCTTCTCCAGCTTCTCCTCCAGCTGAGACATCTGGGTACGGGGAGATTGAGGGTTATCACGTGGCCATTATTCCCCTGGGCTATCTGGTCACGCCTCCAAAATTGTATTTTCATAACAGTATTTATCACGTATCGTCATCAATTCTGAAAATCAACCAATGACAAGTAGAAGGGAAATAATATAAAAAAAGATATTTTTAATATTATTTCCCTTCTACGTGACTTTACCGAAAGAACCAATAAGATGAATCCCTGCAGTTACGAAAGCTTTAAATCGAAATTCAATGACAAGTAGTGCTGAAATAGTAACCCAAGTACTATACTAACCAAAGAGTATGGATTCCTACAGTCACGAAAGCTTCAAATCAAGATTGAACCCAAGTACTGTTGGAACTTACCATTTGAGGCACCCCAAATATCACCACATTGTTGAACTCAGAAAAGTTCACCTGCAAGAAATAAACAGAGGTCGCAAATGAACCAGTCAATGCAAATAATCAGTGTGACTTTCATGAACTTAAAAGGAACATGATCGAACGCTAAATAATAAGTGACTGGCTAAGTAAACTTGAACATTTTGAAACTTGAATTACAAGTTTTACATGTAACATTACACTAATGTACAAATCGTAATTTTATTGGTATAGAGTAGCAATTCTAAAATGTCACCTTGTATGTGCTATCCATATACAAGAACTTACATGGATGCTCCCGAAATGCTGCATACTGACAGTTTTACCCATTAAACACACGAGTTACATAAGACAACTAAATTCAACGTAGTAATAATAATACGCTAAGCTATTGTGCTGCACGGCTTGAGTTCACATGACAGGAAAACAATTATGCAGGAGTGGTCACATGATCCTCGGAAACCATGTAGGGAAGTTCAGCAAGTGATACCACTAAACTACAGTACAGTATTTAGTTTTTGATTCATTTGTAACAAAAAGTGGACGTTTTTTGAAAGGATAAAATGTTCCTGAAATATTCCGAGAAACGTGGGTGTGTGTGTGTGTGTAACACATACTCCATAAGTTAGCATAAGAGTGTAAAATATTTGTCAAAATTACTCATGACTGCGGGATGTTGCTATTCACCCATGAAAATATAGTTTACTTACATTGTGTCAAACTTGCAGGGTCAATTTCTCAAAGACCCAAATCCTTATCGAATACACTGCAAATCTTGACTTAAAGCTTTCGTGACTGCAGGAATCCATATATTCTTTGGGTCTTATGGTAAAGTCACGTAGAAATTTTTTTTAATTATTCTTTTTTCTATCTACATAACTTCACCGAAAGACCCAAAGAATATTAAATCACTGTAGATTGCACATTATTTTGCTTTGGGAACTTCTCTTAGGTAGGACTTACTCTCTTCACAATTTAAACAGAGGAATGATCTAGTGACAGTAAGGAAATATTGTAGGAGATAATTCTCAAAGCAATTAATACAGAAATGTTTGACTGAGCATGCTCAAATCTCTGCTTTGCCATGCGCACCTTCCATAGGTCGACCGTGCGGAAGGATGCCGAACCCTTGAGTCCCAATCGCCAAGCGCCGAGCCGCGAGTACAAAACCAGCCATGGGTTCAGCTCCACTCCCACCGCATTGAACCCATGGCGCGCTGCCGCCAACACCTACAAAACCAAATACAAAGATCCCCCTGTAATAGCCTTTTAGATGTTGGGGCAAGTTCTGTTAGCGAGCCCCTATGAAGGCCGGCAAGGCACACGAGGGGGTGGTTAGTCATCACCACTCCCAGCTGCATTCGTCTTTCAAATACTGATAATTACACACTGCACCAGGTACTCATTAAGGCTGAGTCGACCGAGGAAAGGCCCAGGACTGCTTCGAATATTCGGCAATATTTCTGGTTGTGCATGCAGGAATCAAACTTGAGTTGCCAGGTTTGTAGCGGAGTGTGCTAACCACTGGGTCACCGCTCCCCAAAGCACCTAGACAAGCACATGCATAAAATGTGAGTTAAAACAATTGAAACCACAGAAAGTTATTAACACGAGGCAAGTCATGAGGCATTGACTCATAATCAATGGTATGTGAATCAGAATCTTTATTTATCCTGGAGAAATCCGATGAACTATGAAGCTCTTTTTCACATGTCAAGTATATTCGAATCATATGCGTAATTCGTTCATGGTACGTCAAGACCAAAGAGAGTGAATGTCCCTTAGACCACATCCACCGTGGAGCTGGAGTGATGAAATCAGCTCATGTGCAGGTGCAAGGTGGATCATTATATTAGGGGGAAGTGAGAGATAGCAACAGCTTGAGAAAGCCTTCTTCCAGGAGTGGATTGATCATAGCTGACGATGACAAAATACATCAGAATGCACACTTAATATTTACATTTCAAGCCAACTCTTAATGGCGAACAAAACAAACTAAAACAGATGACAGAGATAAAAATGCGAATTTGCTTAGATGGCTTTTTTCCCCAATGTTAACCAATGAGAATTCCGTTTTGCCCATTGTAGTCTTTGGGAATTCGTTTTTCCCAATGCTAAACTATGGGAATTCCATTTTCCCAATGTGATCCCAACTGGCATTCGTTTAGTCAACCACGCAAATCGGAGGTGCATTGTGGTTTGTCTGTCATTTGCTTCAAGTCCTGTCCTCCTAACGATTGAACTCGCGTCTCACTCACAATCCTTGTGAATGACCGAACACAGAAGATCCCTGGGTTTTATCTTCCACGAAACTCATGGGCCACCCAAAATCGCATCCGCACAAACCATGGCAGATGCGGATACCTGATGCACAAATGGAAAATTATAAAACAATCTCCAGTGTGCGACTGTGGTCATCCAGAACAGATCGTTCAACATCTAATGCAATGCTCAATCCACAAATATGAACGAGACATCACAGCGATACACTCCGCTGCTCCTAATGCGATTATCTGGCTTGACCAACTTGAATGTGGTATTGTAGTTGGCGGAGGAGCGGTAGGGCAGTGGTTAGCGCGCTGCACTACACACCCGGCTGCCCGAGTTCGATTCCCGTTGACGGTCGACAACGGTGACGGTTATCTGAATCGGTCCTGGGCCTCCGCGAGGTCGACTCAGCCTCAAATGAGTACCTGGTTCCGTGTGTAAACATCGCCACTAGGGAGACAAAGGCGGTCGGGCGTGGTGCTGGCCACCCACCCCCTCGCGTGCCGTGCCGACCTTCATAGGTGCTTGACGGGAGATCTTTGTCTTTGTTGCTCTGCATCTACTCATCAGCCGTACTCACGATCCGGCCGTCGCCGCTGCCGATGTCCACGAGTCTCCTCCGTCTGCCGGGTCCCAGCGCTCTCAGGATGTTGCCGAGCTGCGCGTCCGTGGCCGGCACAAAGGGCAGGCACACGCGGCGCAGCGCGGGCAGCACGAAGGGCAGGCACAGCGCGTACACGGCGAGTATCGCTCCGCCCGCCACGCCAGCAAGGGCCAAGCCCCAGCGGGGCCGCGCTGACCCAGGGCGGCCGGGATCCCCCGCGCTCACACCCATGAGCTCGTCCATTTGCTCGGTGGCGGACATCCTAGAACATGGGAGAGGTCGGCAACTTTTCAAAAAAAGACGTTTTTTGTTTTTGTCTTTGACTAAAATAGTTCCGAGAGCCGCATCACACGCAGAACTACGTGTACATGTACACAGCAGGTATACAGCAGATGGCAAATTCTAACTTAATTAAACAAAATAGGGGATGGAATAAACTGCGTCTATTTCGTTGTATTCCCTCTTCCTTACTCTGTAACAATGCAGTTTGACCGTACATTTTTGTCGTCACCAAGACATTCCATAGTAACCCATTCCCTGCCAAATTGAATTAAGTAATCTTCACGTTAAATGATGTTTAAGATTTACATTTATTTAAGAAAAATTGGCTGCCCAAGTGCTCTGGAGTCACAGGTTTGCCAAGCCCTGTTCTAGAACAAGAGGGCAATAAAACTTGTGTTCAGATGTTCAAACACCAAGGAATCAAGTCTGCATTAATCACATACAGTACTTGTGAACATACAAACATGCTCTGCTAACATATGCATTGTCTTTGAAACGGATTGCCCTACACCAAAGACCTTGTCTCACCAATGTCAGACCAGAGGACGCCAAAAGGCGAACAGGACCAAGACAATGCACTATCAGAGCACTTATATTACTCGGGGTGAACAGCTACATCATGGGACCTTTTGACAGGATCAAAAAGGTTGGGTGTGTTTGACCATCCTAACACCTGTTTTATTGCCAGGATGGATAAACCCGATTCTTATACCTGATAGGAACCTCCAATTTACACCAGCCAACAGGGGATTATTGTGTCCGTCCGTCCGTCGTGCTGGGTGGGGAGGGAGGGGCTGGGTGGGGAGGGGAGGGTAGGGTGTGTGGGGAGAGGCTGGGTGGGGAGGGGCTGGGTGGGGAGGGTGGGGTGGGGCTGGGTGGGGGGTGGGAGGGGTGTGGGGTGGGGCTGGGTGGGGGGTGGGTGGGGCTGGGTGGGGGGTGGGAGGGGTGGGGCTGGGTGGGGAGGGGAGGGGCTGGTCACCCCGTGGTGCCCTTATAAAACTCAACGTTTAACCTACTCACGCCGGCTTGTGGCCGCCCTCACAGTCGGGCATATTTGTGGAATACACCACGCCACCGTTGAACCTGGCCATTGACCGAGCAACCCAACGTTCCTACCAGCTCCCTCCGCAGGAATGTGTTGTTTTTCACAAGTTCGTGAGAAGAATAAAAAAAAACCCATCAATATTTCAACAGCTGCAATGCATGGAAAAATAAGACGGTGGGTCCCTTAATAAATAACGTTCACGAATCAGTCCTTAAAGAGTCGCAGATTGCCGACTCCCTGTTCTCGAAGATGATGGGAAGTGAGGATTCCCAATTTTTTAGAAGGCACAATAAAAAAAAGAGACGGGCATTTCGTTTTGAAGATAGGTTATGTGACAACTTTGGCTGGCTGTATGCGTCCACAGGAAAGTGACAGCAGTTCCAGTGAGAGATAAACTTGTTATTAGCTGCACTGCTGCCTTAACAATCTGCTGTCCTCCCTCCGCACCTCCTATTAGCACGGTTGGCTACGTACGGTGCGAAAAAAGTTCAACATACATACTACCCATAGACTCAACACTGCACCTGCGATTAGCACGGCTGACTAGGTACGGTGCGAAAAAAGTTCAACATACACACTGCCCATAGACTCAACACTACCCATAGACTCAACACTCCACCTATTAGCACGGTTGGCTACGTACGGTGCGAAAGAAGTTCAACGTACAGTAACAAAGATCCGAACTGGATACTTTAATCCTACGGCGTGACGCCAATACAAACAATTGTTCCACTTCTTTAGCATTTATCCTCGCCTCGCCGTTGACCTTCAACGCGTTTGCATTTTCCTCTCTCTCTCTCTCGGCCTACGGTGCTGGCTTCAATTACCAAGACCCACGCTGCATAAAGAACAACAACAACAACAAGGAAGAACAACAACAAACACTCGTGTTGTGGGCTCCGCTTAGGACGTCGTCTTAGTAGGGGACGTGGGGCGTGCTAGGCGTTCAATGTCTACGGCTGTGACCGCCACCGCCACCCCCCTAGAACGCATTTACACATTGTGTCGAACACACGGCGGGTTGTAGAGGCGTTCCACCGAATAAAGTGATGAAACTACGTTCAGAGGCAGCAAGCGAGCACGCACGTGGTGCACGCACGTGGACTTACCGCCTGAATGGGGCGGCGAAGCGCACGTGGCGGTGAGGACGGTTGCCCGCTGCTGCTGCCGCTGCCTGCCTCGCACGTGGTAGATGACGTAGGCGGGGAGGAAGCCAGCCCCGCTGTCAGATCAGAGGGCGTTTTTGTGTGTGTCTGTGTGTGTGTCTGTGTGTGTCTGTCTATGTGTGAGTGTGTGTGTCTGTGTGTTTGTGTGAGTTGTGGGGAGTGGTAGTGTAGCGGTTAGCGCGCTGTGAACCTGGAGACCCGGGTTCGATTCCCGCTCACGGCTAACACCAGTGACGATTATCTGAACCGGTCCTGGGCCTCCCCTAGGTCAACTCAGCCACTAGGGAGACAAAGGCGGTCGGGCGTGGTGTTGCCCACCCACCCCCTCGTGTGCCGTGCCCGCCTTTACAGGTGCTCGCTAAGATCTTTCCACTGATCTGTGTTATGAATGTCATTTCTGTATGATTCCAATCATTCCAGAGAGATAGTAACATGCACGTGCTTACTGCCCGCGCACCTCTCGTCTCTCCCTGTACTTGCAACGAAGCTCCGCAAATTTTACGATTTTGACTATAAAATGATTGGAATCATCCAGTAATGACATAACACAGATCAGTGGAACAATCTTTATTTTTATTGTATTTTTTACTTTTCGTAGCAGCTATTTTCATTGGCTGTTCCTACCCTGACCGCACGTCCCTGATTACGATTCTACATCTCTCTCATCTCACCTCTACTCTCACACACTCTCCTACCTCTCCCCTCTCATCTCACTCTACTCCCACATACTCTCCTACCCTCTCCCCTCTCATCTCACTCTACTCCCACTCCTACCTCTCCCCTCTCATCCCACTCTACTCTCACACACTCTTACCTCTCCCCTCTCATCTCACTCTACTCCCACTCCTACCTCTCCCCTCTCATCTCACTCTACTCCCACACACTCTTACCTCTCTCATCTCACTCTACTCTCACACACTCTCTTACCTCTCCCCTCTCATCTCACTCTACTCCCACTCTTATCTCTCCCCTCTCATCTCACTCTACTCCCACACACTCTTACCTCTCCCCTCTCATCTCACTCTACTGCCACTCTTACCTCTCCCTCTCATCTCACTCTACTCCCACTCTTACCTCTCCCCTCTCATCTCACTCAACTCCCACTCTTACCTCTTCCCTCTCACCTGACTCTACTCCCACTCTTACCTCTCTCCTCTCATCTCACTCTACTCCCACTCTTACCACTCCCCTCTCATCTCACTGTACTCCCACTCTTACCACTCCCCTCTCATCTCACTGTACTCCCACTCTTACCTCTCCCCTCTCATCTCACTCTACTCCCACTCTTACCTCTCCCCTCTCATCTCACTCTACTCAAATTTCTCTCCGCCACACACACATCCCACAAGTCAGTTGACGCAACTGACAAAGTGAATTGGAAACGCGGTAATTGCACAGCCTATGCACTGCACTGGTTTCTACTGCGAATATCTGGGAAGGGCACAGGTGTGGTGCTAGTTACCCAGATCCCACATCTGAAAAACACAGAAACCAAAGAACAGAGTAACACTTTTGTATTCGTCAACTGTTTTATTCCAAAATCAGGACAGAAATAACTTATATTTGGAAAATAAAACTCGAACACCTTCAGAATCCGTGTTTTGTAGGCTTGTTAAAATTACTTTCAACCCCTCGATCATTACACATGGGTTTGAAGAGTGGAGAGACCACGTACTGGAATGGCAAAACAAGAATCTTGGGTGCAGCAAGTTGGAATGTCTCAACGTGGTCAACAATGACCGTACAAAGAAATAACCATCATGAAGAAAAGTTTATCTCGCATTTTATTTATGTCCCAAGGCCCTGATGACTAAATATGATGATAAATACTGTGCATTTAATGAAACATCGATTCACTGATCAAACACATTTCTTACACTCACCATACCTGCAACGGATTGTAAGCATCAAAAACATGATCTATGAAGAGTGTACGCATATGATATGCTGTTGTACGTATGCTCATTTGGTATATATAACTGCAAACGAGGCATACAAACGAGAGAAAATGGCAACACAAATTCGTCAACAAAACGATCGACTTTTTAAAATGAATCGTAGCCCCAAGTCATGACAATTCATTGAACCACTGTGAGAGTGATCCACTTTGCATGGCTCAAATATCGGTGTTAACTTCACATGCCATGAACGGGTGGAAGCTTTGTGGTTGTTGATGAGAGAAGTCCACTTATCGTAAAGAAAGAAAGGATTGTGATATGAAGGGATAATTTTAGACCGATTCCTGCAGCAATTTGTGCGATGAAAAGGAATCACGCTTCTCTTTGCGGATTCATGCCGACAGCACATTCGGGAAATCGTTGGTGTTAAACATAGACCACTGTATATGATTTACAGCCCTTTGTCAATCCGCTGCTGGATAAAGGTATCTCCGCATTGTGTAGGTCATAGGGATCGGTTGACCATACTTCACCACGATGGCCTATGTGGTTTGGAGTAAGAGTGTGCCGCAAGACCAGTCAAAAAATCACTGCACCAATGTTAGCCGTGACCGGGAATCACACTCGTGGGATTCATAGCGCAATACACGAACCACTGCACCACCGAATCGAGCATGGATAAATCTATTATGTTTTTTTTGCAAATGATACGTGTTACAAGTGGGCTACTGGGGCAAAATGTACAAACCAAACGATACGCAAGTACAGTAACAATACAAACAAGATGCTAAACCAAGACCGATTCTTCAATCAAATAGTGAACACCGAATTGTGACAGTTCATCAAATCATTACATGCCGATTCAAAACAGATGACATTTAAAATGCTGAACTTGTATCTTCTCATCACAGGTTTTGGAAATGCCGGTTGAGATGCTCCAAGGGATACGATGGCCCAGACCGTGTTTACAGATCACGGTGGGATTTTTTACCAACTTTCTCATAGTCCTTCCCTCGCTGCTTCCTCATGTAGTTCACAAAGTCGGATTCCTGGAAACCAAACAGAAGCAAGGCTTAAATACACACACTGAATAGCCAGTGTGTGACTGTGGCTACGTGTCTCGTGTGCAAAGGGTGCTACGGAAAATAATACCATAATACCGTATTTTCCAGATTATGATGCCCATTCGCCCGCTGTATTTTAAAGCAAAGGTTGAGGGTGTGTCTTATAGTATGGTAAGGTGTGTGCGTCTCAAAATGTATAACTTTATTGTCGCCCGTCACAAGTTTTTGGTGCATCTGGCTTTCCCGGAGCATTAATAATCTGGAGAATACAAGGGTAAAAAAACGACATCAGAAATGCAATAATCTGCATTGATATGGATTCTGTAAGTTGTGGCGCAGATTATTTTGAGTTCTGCTGTAATGACGAGAATGATGATCATGACGGACACTGAAAATTACATGTAAATTATATATTTTTGTATGATAAAGCATCCAATGAGCTCCTGCACGAACCGATTTCATTACACCATCGACTGTTTGGAGATCCTCTTGGGTATATTTCCTACTTTGTCTTCTTTAAATTTTAATTATGTAGCAGTTGAATGATTTAGTGGCTAGCAAGCTCACCAGTGACCCATATTTTATACTGCACAGCCCTTTTGCCAACCCACTGCTGGATGAAGGCTTTCCCGTGTCGTGTCAGCGACAGACGTTATTTGACCGTACTTAACCGTGCTGGAAAGTTTCAGGTTGGTGAAGCGAGTACCTAGGACATATACACACATCACTCGCAAATGATGTTGGCCGGGAATCAAAACCAGGATGCCGGGCTCATGGAAAAGAGCGCTAACCGATGTGCCAGTACTCTCCAACAGATATGTAGGGGAAAATGATAATTTACGTCAATTTCTATTCGATTGAGTCAATTTTCACAGTTGTGCAGTACAGCTCTCTGATGCGTTTACATATTGTAACACCGTTTTGTTCATCATGATGTCTGACGTTTTGGGAGCTGCTTCAAAAAAGTAAAGACGCTGTCAGCACCTGGAGCTTAACGTTGGACACCGTGCTTAACATGCAGTACGAGCCAAACATATATCGGAGAGCAATGTTTGTTCCGTATGAATTCTATTGGCCATTTTATAGATATTGTGATATAGTTATAACTTGGTTCACTCACCCCACGTGGGCCAGTGTAGCGTTCCAGTGCCCGGCCATAGGAGTAATAGCGGAATGTGGGGTACTCCTGCACATCTTCCTGTCCACAGATCTCAGAATTCCCTGCCTTACTGCAGTCAATGGCACCTAAACCCATCTGAAACATTCAGCATAGAAGCACACCATCCAGCATGGTTATAACAGGAGGGGACAGGTAAAAAAAATACGGCTAAAATTACCATCATCAAAATTTTTGGAGGTTCAACCAGGACGCATGATCAGCTGGTCGCCCTTCCCTCCCTCTGTCGACTCTGCCCACATTTCAATAGCCACGCCCACTCGATCACTAGCCCCCACCCACATAGTGAGTGGTCCCCTTGCTCATAGGCTCTGCCTAGGCCATTCAAAGTGGGGTATTTTATTTAGGATGGAAACCCCCAAAAAAATCCTCATAATATTACTCACCTTTCTGTCCTCTTTGAATTGTTCAGCAGCTCCTGTAAAGTGCAACATGGCTTGCTGAGAGTGTGGGCACCCTACATCGTTACATGCACACACGCACAAACAGAATTGGCATCCAAACACAGACATATGCGATACATCAGGGCATAGCTTTGGAGTGTACAAGCAATGCAACTGCAGCAGGGCCCACGGGGCAGAAAGGCTCAGGCACCGGGCTATAAAGAGGTGGGGACATTGGACTGGGGGCCCCATTTCATTCCTTGCAGCAGGGATCATGTCAACCACGCTTCTTTTGTATGGTGGGGAGCTGACCAGCAACGTTTATCCGTGCATGTCAAGGTTGGTGAGCGAGCCGATGGACGGCTTCAGGGGTAGCCTGGTGGATATCTGAAACGCTGCCAGTGAATGATTACATCGGGAGGGCAGCGGTGTTACTATGTAGTCCATGATTTTAGATTCAGTTGTTTCAAGTTAAACCACAGCATGAAGTGGGAGGGAAAGCAGCCGTA